TTTGTTTGAATTTAAATAAAATGGGAATTTAAGCAGCAATCAGGAATAACATTGCTCCAAGAAACGATTCTACTAATAGGAATTCGTCTATTAAAGAAGGTACAAAAGCTCTGCTCTTTTTTAGAGCATTTTATAAATCATTCTGACATGGCACCTGGGAAATAGGATTCGATTTTGTAGAAGCATGACGATTAGAATTCTCCAAGAATCTCTTTTAGTAAAGAAGGCAAATCAAGCTCTGTTGAAATCATTCTGACACGGCACCTGGGTAATACGATTTGATTTTGTAGAAGCTCTGATTCGTCCCTTTTGGGCATTTCGCCTCTAGATGAATCCAAAGTTATTCGTATGTATATTAAAATACATAAATTATGATTTATACAAGTATATCACTTTAATGCGTGTAAGTGGCCAACTGGGAAGCCGTCAAGGGGGCTCAAACAGACAGGCGCGTCGCTCGCCCAGCTCGCATGTATTCGTATCCGTATCCGTATTCGCCGACTTTTGCCGTGCACCATCGTCTGCCGCGCTGCCACAGACACTTGCCACTGTATCTAAAATGTAGTGACGTTGACATAATGGCAAAATCAAACACGCTCAGACACACACACAGACCCGGACACCTACATAGTAACACTATAATAACAAACATATGCATGCAGAGCGTAACAAGATAACCACGCCCGGCGCCCGGCGCCCTGCACCCTGCACCCTGCACCCGCGCACCGCCCCTCGTCCTGTGCTTTTCGCCATCAACTGTTGACACTATAAAGTAGAAAAAGTTGTTGCTGCTCCACACTCACTGTTGTTGCTTGTGCTGCTGTTGTGGCTGTCCTTGTTACTGTCGTAAAAACGCAAAATTTGTATATACAATAAATATGTGTGTGGCTTTGTAAACATATATGTGCATATATATATATGTGTGTGTGTGTGTTTCCATACGTGCTGGTTGCCAGTGGCGTATCGCATAAATATGCATTTCCCATTTCCCCCATTTTCAGAGCCATATCCCCATTTCCCATTTGCTCCATATTGTCATTGCGCGACGTCAGCGTCTGCGCCAGCGTCAACGTCCGCGTCCGCGTCGGCACCGACGCCAGGACACTGCATTGCATGTGCAAACCCATTGCTTCCATCCATATTCATTGGCTACCCATGCCGATGTGGGTTAGTATGCCCAGCTCCCGACTGCCCCCCACCTGCCACATCACCTGCTCTGGCATGCATGTCACTGCACACACATATACATATATATATATACAAGTATATATATATATATATATGTATATATATAGGATATGTACACAGTACACATTTGCATACCTGACCGGCAATAATGTCAATAAAAAAATGTTACAAAAAAGAAACAGTCAAGTTGCTTGTCGCATGTCGAAATGTTACAACTTGCGTTGTTTTTCCACTTATTTGTGTAAACTGCGAAAATGGCACTACAATTGGGGCTTGTTAGGTTTGCCGAGTGCTGGAATTATTGAACACATCGGACCCAGAAGCTCCTCCAAGTTCGCCCCTTCCCAAAGGACACTTGCGTTGCAATCACGTCTAAAGAAAAGAGTCTAAGAAACTGTTGTTAATAATTGTAAAGGCATTTTTTGTCTAGCTGACTGTCCAAATATTTCATCTAAAATACACATTAGCCAATTAAAGGTCATTATTTTTATTTGATTTATACAGTTTATTTGTAGTAAAGACTACATTCAACAAACATTTGTTCTGACAACAAAGTTGACGAGCACTTTCTGAGTAGTTGAGAAGCATTAACATTAAACCCATATTTGGTCTTTATGCCACTTGATTATAATCTGAAATAAACAAAACACTAGATTGGGTTAATTAAGTTAAAAAATTGAAATTAATTGTTGTTGCTGATATCTTGAAACGACTTTTTAAATACATGTTGAAGAGATCTTCGCATCAAGAATTTAATCTGCTTTTCTCATAAAGCTGAATGTAATTTTGTGGGGGCGGCCAATTATTGGAACCATTTCTATTTACATACCGGGGCTTCAGTCACCCATCTGAGAATGATGATTCTACCAAAACTAAGCTCTTTACGACTCTACATTGGTGAGTCTAGAAAATGTCGGCACTAGGACTGGGAACTAATTCATGAACATTATTTCCAATGATGATAATGAATAAAGTAAAACCCAAAAGTACTGAAATGGTTTAACAAATTTCCGTGAATAATTAACATTGGAGAGAAGTTATATGATTGTTAATAGAAAAAAAGATTAAAAAAGTATGTTATATGATAGTAGCAGGGAAAAGCAGAAGAGCGAATTTTGTAGCTTTGATGGTAATCGAAATAAACTGCAATTGCCTGCGGATTAGAAGAGCTTATAGTGATCATACAGTATAGGATGACCGGTTTCCAAAATCCAGCCAGACAGATCGATGTCTAGATCGATTTCCCACATCACGCTTTCCAGAAATATGTGCGAGTATAGATGCTTCCTCCTACCTGTTACATGCTTTGCGCAAAACTAACATATGTATTCTTTTTAGCCTTCGGATATATGTAGGTTATAAAGGACGTTATTCAACTGAAATATGCTTTGTTGCATTAATCCAGCTTTGATTTAAAATAAACTTGAGCTGCATTTGAGGCTAAGACTTCTTTAGACTCTGATTTTGTGGTTCAAATAAATATTTTCAATCGTACACTTGATTTAGGACAAAAATGTTTCATTTATTTGCAGTTCCTGTAAGTACGCTATTTATTGAATGGGAAAATCAGGATATTGAAGCAAAATGGATTTGAGCTAAAAATGCAGAGATATTGAAGTGAGGGTTTCCAACTTTATTAGATAATAATTAGGCATTACTGAGCGATTCATTCCAAAAGGAAATATGGCATTTGATCAGCTGATATGGGGATTGCAGAATTGTGGAATACTTGTAATGCAAAATGTTTTCTGAAATGCTTAACTCAATGTCTAAAGCCACAAACTGGTTGCAAGTAACTGGCAACATACTTGTATATGCTCATTTTCTTGCTACTATTACTACGGCAACAGCAAAAGCGAAAGCAACAAGAATAGCAACAAAGTGGCATTATAATGGCAAAGGCAAACAAACAACAAGCTGCAACAACAGCAAACAAGAACATGCCATGCGATGCCATCGAGTGGTTTACACATATTACCAACCCAACTTTCCTCAGACAATGTAATGGAATATATACACTCTCACACACACACACACACACACACATAACAATCACAACAAAAGCTACCATTAGTTGTGGGCGGGCCTGCCTGCCTGCCTGCCCGCCTGCCCGCCCGCCTGCCTGACTGTCTATCTGTTTGTCTGGCTCCAAGTCTAAGCCAACGAACCAATAAAACGATTTTTATTATGAATGACAACATTTGAAATGTTCCAATTACGCGCAAATATTTTGATAAATGCCGCGAGCCTGTAGGTCCTTCCTCGTCCTCGTCCTCGTGCTCTACTCTGTCCAAGAGCCACCGCCAGTCCCACTCCATGTCACAGCTGCCAACTGGTTGTAATACGTTTATAGACTCGCAAGTATGACTAGCTGACTGAATGACTGAATGACTGACTGATTGACTCACTAACTGACAGCTACTACAAATTTGTCGTATAAATAGCTATAGCAGCAGCAGCAACAACAACAACAACAACAACACCAGCAACAACAAGGCAATTGGCAGGCAATAAACGGTGCATAATAATTTTGACTGCCTTACAAACTTGCACGAGGAACGGAACAGAAGACAGAAGTCCATGTAGAAAACATTGAATATGTATGAGGAGGAGATCTCTCGAGTTACATAGTTGCAGAACGGCAAGAAGTATATCCATTAGTTTTGTAAATCAAAATAGCCCTGCAGTATGTGGTGAGTGCCCCATACTACGCTGAAATTCCTGCTCCACAGACCTATTTCCAATCCAAGTCTTTGGAAGGGGGAAGACATTGCATTAAGATACATAATGTAAATAATGTTAGACTCGGTATATCACAATAAAGCATTCGTTCAATTTAGCCATTTCGAATCTAAGGAACAGAATATAGACAAAAAAATAACCGAAACCGAAACTTAAGAAAAGAAGAACATAAGTATATTCTTGTTTGTTCTGTTTGCAAAACACTTTCTTTGATTTTTGTAATATTAGTAATATTATTAAACTTGTTCCTACTTACTCTTGACAGTTTGATCTAGTTGTACATAATAGGTATTTTAGCCAGGGTCTGTAATCATATTATAAGCGTTATTATAAGAATTATAAAATAATTATTATTTTTTAATTTTTATAAATTCGGTCACAATATATTTATATGATATGTAATAATTGTTGTCTCTGCATTTTTCATAGGGAGTGAGAACAAAATTTATATATATCATTAAACAATAAGCCAACATGAACCCCATAGCTCAGTTTTGGGCTAAAAACATCCTTAAAACAATATTTTCAGGCCAAATTAAAGCTTGAGCTAATGATTATTCTTTGAGTTTTATTTTTTGGATCAAAAATAATGATTGTTAGTTAAGCTGTAAAGTTAAACTCAAAATTAATCATTAAATTTTGAAAGAATGAATAAAAATTAAAACTTTTAAATCATGGTGGGGATGCATGGATAATCCTAAAAAAGGGTATTGGTAAATTCCTCGCTTTTTTTAAGTTATTAATTCTATTATTATTATTAAAATTCCACTTACAATTACAAATTGCTGCAGCTTATAGAGTAAGCTAAGGCCTTAAGCTTTTTATCAAAGTTGCTATAAGTGAATGATTTCAAAAAAGAACAAATTAATCATTATTTAATTATAACACATATATAGAAACTTGATGACAGGCTAACCCTCTTCATTCGGTTTCTTTTTGTTTGCGTGCAGTCTAGTATTCTCTCTTATAATTCAATACATTCTAAATGTTTAGCTTATCAATTGTTTATGGGTACACAACACATTTGAATAATTAACATTAACGCCTTTCTCAATTCGTTTTATTTACAGCCGACAGTTCATTTCTTTTGGCCAACGCACAAATCGTCGATTTCCCGATCGTCTACTGCAATGAGTCCTTCTGCAAGATCAGCGGCTACAATCGGGCCGAGGTCATGCAGAAGTCGTGCAGGTATGTGTACGTATTGCCATTTTATTCAATCTCACTCTCTACCTGCTCAGCTATATCTCACTTGTTGGCCAAGTTGCCCGTTTCCCGTTGCCTGTTCCTGTTCCTGTTCTCGTTGACGTTGTCGTTAGCGTTAGCGTATGTACACGTCGGTGCTGCTCAGCGCGCTAGTGAAGGGGACGAGGCGGGAGGTGCTTCTGTTCGCGTGCCTCCTCGTTGCATGCACTGCGCCAGAAAGGCGGATCGAGTCTCAAATGATCGCCAGCCAAGGCATTACTATAGATGCTCTGCCTTTAGTTTTCCCTTCTGCTACCAGAGAGAATTGCTTTCCCCTTTGCTTTCGCTCGCTTTCTATGTGCTTGCGTTTTAATTCCGTTTCTCTCTTTCTTCCTTTATTTTTGTTTGCATTGTTTTAGCATTGCCGTTTTGTTGTTGTTGTTGTTGCTTTTGCTTTTGCTGTTGCTGTTATTGTTTGCACATTTATTTCGAATTGATTGCAGTTGCCATTGTAAGCACATTTCCCATTTTATATGCACGTGCAATTTGAATTTCGGTGCGGATGTGTGCACACGGTTTGGAAGCCATTGCACGTGCCTGAAAATAAAATCCGTTAAAGTCCGTTAAACATTCCACAATCAGCATCCGAATCAGAAGCAGAAGCAGAAGCAGAATCGGAGGTAGAGCCTTAGTCAGCCACTTAGTCATGCAGTCAATTGTGGCTGAGTGTCGTCACACTTGTGTGCATGCATGAGACTTCTGATTGTTATCCCCATGGTTATGGCTATTGTTGCCATTACGCATACGCCGCGTGTGACGCAATCGAAGCGGAGAGGCAGCATCAAAAGTTGCCACGTGCCTGATAAATAGGGGAAGAGGATATCCAACTAATGTGGCTTCACATCAACACACACACACACACACACATCTCTGGATACCACGCATTTGTATGCATGTATACAAGAGGAGTGTGTACGAGTGCGAGTGTGTGAGGCATTGTCGTCTTTTGTCGGCCATGTAAAGCCGATTACAGGGTTAATATAAATTTCCACAACAAAAACAACCAGCACAAGCGAAAAAACTGTTGCTTAGGGCCAGATTCTTCACAAGCCTAGGCAAGGCAAAGAGCCTGTTGCCTGCTGACCTGAACAGCTGCTATTGACAAGCCAAAAAAAAAACAAAAAAAAATGGCCATAACTTTTTGTACATCAATTCCCACAGACTTGTGCCTGGACAACAACATTTCAGGCCTGCGGCTACGGAAATTAAAATAACGCACAACAATAGAATGCGAGTGTGTGTATGTGTATGTGTGTGGCTGCAGGCGGCCATTGAATAGAGATACTCAGGCGTGACACGCGTGACACACGGCGAAGCAAACAACTGAGTAGAAGCAAATTTAATTGAAGTGATAGAACTAAAATAAATATTGAAAGATAACATTAACCTGAATATATCTGGATTAAATTCAATAAATATCTTTAATTAAGTCCTTCAAAAGAAAAACAAATAAAATTTAAGCTGTAAAAAAATAGCATACTTGGAAAAATTTAAATAAATGGAAGACATGCATATATGAAAACAAAGCTTCTCTCTATCGACATTCTCATATCTGAAAGATAACAATATAAAATGATGGAATGTAGACTAAAAGTAAAGGACATAGATGAGAGATGTATGTATAGAGAAGTAGAAAGTAATAAGGAACATTTTAAAATGATGGAATGTTGACTATCCAGCTATATTGTTGTTAGACGTTAGAAAACCTGTTTGTAGAGAGAAATGTAAAGGACAGGGATGAGAGATGTATAGAGAAGTTTAATGTAAGAGAAACCCTGTTTTTAGGAAGAAAAGTGAAGGACATAGATGAGAGATGTATAGAGAAGTTTAATGTAAGAGAAACCCTGTTTTTAGGAAGAAAAGTGAAGGACATAGATGAGAGATGTATAGAGAAGTTTAATGTAAGAGAAACCCCTTTTTTAGGGAGAAAAATAAAGGACATGGATGAGAGATGTATAGAGAAGTAGAAAGTAATAAGGAACATTTTAAAATGATGGAATGTTGACTACCCAGCTATATTGTTGTTAGACGTTAGAAAACCTGTTTGTAGAGAGAAATGTAAAGGACAGGGATGAGAGATGTATAGAGAAGTAGAAAGTAATAAGGAACATTTTAAAATGATGGAATGTTGACTATCCAGCTATATTGTTGTTAGACGTTAGAAAACCTGTTTTTAGAGCGAAAAGTAAAGGACAGAGATGAGAGATGTATGTATAGAGAAGTAGAAAGTAATAAGGAACATTTTAAAATATAGTACGTCTTTTCGTGCCCATCTCTATCGTTCTCTTGCTCCTCACCTTGATCTCGCACCGTTTACTGCTTTGAATACGAGTATATGATGCCTCGCCGAGCTTTTATTCCCATTCCCCTCCTTCCTCCTCCATATTTCCATTTGTCGCTGCTACTTGATATACATACTCGTACTTCGGTAGTTTGTTATTTAAGCGATGTGGTGGCTGCTATTTTTATTCATGTCCCTAAACGGCTCGTCCATTTGAAGTGATCCGGACGCTGGACGCCAGACACCGGAAAGCGATAGCATTTCTCATCCTCTCCCCCATACCTCTGCTCCGTCCCTGCTCTCTGCATCTCTAACCTAATTGCGCCATCAAACTAAATGCCCGTGACAGCATTACATTTGTTTGGCTAAGACCTTTAATAGTGCTGCGAGCAGCAATTGGAAAATGTACGGGTCTGCTAATGAAATGAGAGGGCAACAAAGAGTGTGCCAGAAAGTTGTTGATTCGTTTTAAAAGTGTACGTGCAAATATGCAAATGTATTCATAAAGTTTTAGAGCAACGCACCGCGCAACTTTTTGATACTTTGTGCAAAAAGTTTCCATCACACACACACACACACACACACATACGGACACATGCGGACACGGATGCATGCATGCATGTGCATCAAAGGGCCACTTGGCCCTTGCCACAGCCAGCGGAGCATGGCTCACAAATCAGCAATAGCAACAACTATTGTTGCCACCTTGCTAGTGGCTGTCAAACTGTAAGGCAACAGCAACTTGAGAGCCGCCAGGTCAAACAAATCTCCAGTGTATTGCTTGTAATTTGCTAGTCCCTGTGGCACGCTGGATGGTAGGAGGCGGGAGGGCTGCAGCCACAGCCACAGGCACAGCCGCCGTACCCGCATCGAAGTAAACAAATGGCAGCCCCCCTCCCCCCCCTTTCAACCCTTTGTCCACACCCCTGGAGACCAACAGGAATTGGTCGCCGATGCCGCAGTTCGGCCCGCAATCCGTGGGGCAACTTTGTAATGCCAATCTAGCATTCCTCACACTCTATCTACCGCTCCCGCTTCCACGCTCCCCGCTCCCCGCTCCCCACTCCCCTCCTCATCCATGCACACTCCTCTCACGGGAGCCACTCGTGTGCTTTTTGTTTTTGTTTGTTTTAGTGGTTTTTTTTTTCGTGCGCCGTTTTGTGCTGCGCTTTGACCTACTTTGGTGGCGCGAGGCGAGAACAGCAGATGGTGGCAAGAGGAGGGACTGGGGGCAACAAAAGGAAAAGAACAGGCAGCAGCCCACAAAAGGTTGACCAAAATGATGTTTTGTTTGTCGCTGCCTCTGTTATTGTTGCTTTTATGGTAGTTGTAGTAGTAGTTGTTGCTTTTGTTGCTGTTGTTGTTGTTACTGCTACTTCTGCTCCTGTTGTTTGCTTAACTGTGCGCATTTTCTTTCAATTTGCGATTGCAGTTTGTGGCGCCTTTTCACAAGCTGCACGGTTGGGACAACCAGCTCGGGCTCTTGCTCTGGCTCTGGCTCGGGCTCGGGCTCTGACTCCGGCTCCGGCTACGGCCGTTTATTTGTTTGCTTTGTAACCCAATTTCGCGTGTCGTATCGTGTCTGTGTCTGTGTCTAAGCGCACTCACACACACACACACACACATACACTCTCTCCATCGCTCTCATTCCTATTCCCATTCCCATTCACATTCACGACGACTCCATATAGACATACGGTAGCTCATGGTAGTTCATGGCACGAAGTGTCCGGTCAGGCGGAAATAAGCTGCTGCTCCCCACGTCGTATGCCCTACCGCCCCGCCCACCTAACCCAAACCCAAACCCAAGTCCAATCCAAGCCTATGACGTCGTCAGCGTCATTGCTCAGCATAGTTTGTTGAACTTTTCGATGGCATAAATACGTTGGAAGGGCAGGGGTCGGACACGACCAGGCGGCGCGGGAGGGTGGTCAGGCAGGCAAGCATGCCGGCAGGATGGCATGACGGCATGACGGCATGATGGCAGGCTAGCTGGCAGTATGATTTGCCATTTACAGCAGCGACAACAAAAACAACATAGCAAATTAACAGTTTTTATTGTGCTGCATTTTCATTTCCATTGCAGCCATTTTCCATTCGTGCGCTGCTTTCGCTGCGCTGACGTCATCATAGTTGCGATGTGTTTGTGTGTGTGTGTGTGTTTGCGGTTCTACGCTTGCATATATTTCTTTTGCACCACCCTGAAAGCATGCAGCAGTTTTTTGTTTGCTAGGGAGCACCATGTTGCAACTATACTCGTACTACTGCCCGTATGACATTCAATGGGCCTCAGAGGACATTGAGCAGCGTTGGTAGAAAGTTGGCAGAAACTACGCAGCTGGCTGGGTCATGTTGCGCCACTTAAAGAGCCAAAAAAGATACCTGGCCCAGCCTCCTTCCTTCTCGCATGCCTGTCTAAGCACTTAAATGTGGCGCCCAATGTGGGGCCGCTGCTTTTGCTTCAGCAAATAATTCAGTCACGTTTCGACCTCCTTCCCCCTTTGGATCATCAAAAATGACTTCCAAGGTTATTACAATAAGGAAAAATACTGGTATTGAATTCGTTATGAAAATCAGCCGATTGAAATAAAATAAGAACAATATTTTGTTAGCAACTAAAACAAAACTTTTTCCCTTTAATCTTTACATACTTATAGTATATGCATGACAAATCTATTTGTTTAGTCTGCCACAATTTGCTTGTTGCAGTTAAAGTGTCAGATTTCTAGTAGATGCATTCGTAAGTTAAGCGCTTGTTGGTAAAAAATCAGAAAAAACCGAGTATAAATAGAAACGTGTTCATTAACACTTTGCAATAGTTGAAATGAACATTTGTAGGGCGATTGGAATACTATTTTAATTAAGTACCGGCTAGCATGTTTATGTTTTTAAAACGGTATGCCGAAATTTTAGGTGGTACCGTGAAAGAACTATTTTTAAAATTGTATTAGCCCAGCTGAGTCTATTACTTGCTAATTACCGCATTTGACTTGGTGGCATGCTATGTTAAAGCGCTTATTATTTGTTTTTTCTTGTGTATGCTTATGTGCCTGCTTATTGTGCTTGACCAACTTGACCAAATCAAGAATAATACCTCGTCCATATGTGACGATTTGCTCTTCTCGTTTTTCCTTCTTTCTTCCACTTGTTTTATTCCCATTTAGATGCGGCTTCATGTACGGCGAGCTGACAGATAAGGAGACGGTGGGACGGTTGGAGTATACGCTGGAGAATCAGCAACAGGATCAATTTGAAATTTTGCTCTATAAGAAGAACAGTAAGTGTCAGTGACTATCTATATCTATATCATTTTCTATTGAGGTACCTGCCTCATTGAAGTTGTAGGCTGCACGCTTTACCTTTTGTGTGGCACCTCGTCAGTCCAACTCAGTAGAGCGCAAATTGACATGCTCAATGGAACAGAGCCGGAGGTGCTTGTGAGGGTAGAGGGGGCAGTGTAATGGAATGGCCGCCAGTTCGATTTATGTATGCTAAATTGTGCTAAGGCTTGTTATTATTTGCAGTCGACCCCACAATCTCTCACACGCTCTCCTCCCCCATACACAGGAATAGAGACCCGAGTTAATAAGCACCTTCTCCACACCCCCAAAACATTTTTCAGCTTGTTGCTGTATTGTGCTAAGCTCTGTGAATGCTGAATGCCGGTCGGGACTGCGTCCGCAACCGTTCGGATGATTCTTGTTTTGTGTGCGCTGTTTCGAAGCTGATGCTGGGCCCCGGCTCAGTCTGTGTCGGATTTGGGCATACATTATTAGGATTTATGCTCGAGCAGTCGTAATAAATTGTTGCATTTTGTGTCTGTTCCAAAGTCTGTCTGTCTGCCTGCCTGCCTGCCTGCCTGCCTGCCTGCCTGTCTGACTGTCTGTCAGTCTGTCTGTCTGTCCGTGTGTTTGTCGGCGTGGGAGTCAGAGCAAGGAGCGAAGGCAAATTCAGCATATTATAGCACACGCTTTTAGGCCGACATTCATATTTCATTTTGCTAGCGCCGGAACCTTACTTTAATTTCATTAACGTTGCTGCTTCTTTGAAGTGCTGCTCATCAATCAGTTTCGGACAGTTCCTGGCAGGCGTGCCCGCCAGGTTATGTTCGCACACCATCGACTGCCGCCCCTCATTGCCCAATCCATATTCCGATTCCGTAGCAAGCGCGAAATGTCATTTGCCATCTCGTCGTCCATCTGCCCGAGTCCAAGCACCCAAGCACCCAAGCACTCAAAACTGCTGCACGAGCACATTTTCAACTACACGCCTCACTAACACCAAGTGCCCCAATTATGGATAATTGCAAAATAAAATTATCGTAAGCCGCTCCACGCTGTCGTCGCTACTGCCCCATAGACAGCTGCTATTCCTAGTAATCAAATGCCTTTCGCGCCCCGTGTTGACCTACTTGGAGTGTGGAACTGTGTTGCCCGAAGCCCAGTCTCTAGCCCAATATGCAATTATTGTTTATTTATCGGTTACCACCCGCCTATCAATTTTCAGATTTGCAATGTGGCTGCGCGCTGTCGCAGTTCGGCAAGGCACAAACGCAAGGTAGGCGGAATCACTTAACGCAACCTCAAGTAGCTGGCTAGTTTAAAGCGGGGGCTAACCCCTAATAGACTAAGCCACAATGGATTGAAGCAGAAGGAGCGAGCATTTGGACATCAAACACGCAGTCTTTGCTTGTCTTTCTATAAATGCCACACCACTGCGAATGAATATTACTGGAGTCTGCTTGTTAATTAACAGCATTTATACAATATGGGGTCTTCCTGCTGAAAGTGATACGAGTGCTGCAAATATCAAGTTACATTGGACTAGGACCTTGAAAAGAGCTACTGTTTTACAACAGTGCTAGTGTGCGTGCATTATGGTCTAGGCTCTACTAAAGCGAGTCTAAATGGATAGACAGCGTTGAGGTGGTTTTAGCCGAACGAACTATATGCTTCTTAAGAGATCTATCCTTGTTTGTGTTACATCCATCAGTGGTTTTTCAGCCTTCCTTACAGATTTTGAGGTGGTTTTGGTCGCGAATGAATTATATTGAATCATTATTGAAGAGAAGGCCCCGTAAACCTTTAGATATGTTTTTTTTAAAGACATGGGACATCCATCAGTTGTTTTTCTGCCTTCCATACAGATTTTGAGGTGGTTTAGTCGCGAATGAATCATTATTGAAGAGAAGACCCCGTAAACCTTTAGATAGGTTATTTAATGATCTTTCTTTTTATGGGACATCCAGCACTGGTGTATCGTCGTGTATCGTTCATTATAGGTAAAGTCACTACTGACGTGAGTTTAAATGGATAGACATGCTTCTTTATTGAAGAGAAGGCCCCATAAACCTTTAGATAGGTTCTTTAAAGATCTCTCTTTTTTATGGGACATCCAGCAGTTGTTTTTCAGCCTTCCTTACAGATTTTGCCATTTAACCAATTAATTGGTTTAGACATATTTTGCGTTTGGCAACTCATCTGCCATTTCGTTTCCTGGAATCCACTGCAGTTTAATTCTCAGTTTCTGCAAAAAAACGGATTCGGATCAAATGCGTTCTACTATGCTGCCTAAAGTCTAGAAGCTATGATGAAGTTGTGATGTGGATGTGCATGAATGCGGAAGTGGGATTGGAAGTGGAAGTGGAAGGTTTGGGCACCGCTGGCTTAGTCGCTTTGACATTTTCAATTTACGCTGCTTACCTGTGCTGCCATGTCAAAAGGTGTAAGGCCGAGCAGAAATGGCTTAACATGATTATGTCGGCTAGGGTGATGCTGGCGTTGGCGAGGGCGAGGGTGATGGTGAGGTTGATGATGATGATGATGATGATGACGCCTGATTGCCTGCCCATTGACGGCTCGACTGTGTGGCACGTAGCAAAACCAATCAAACAGAAGGCGGCACAAACAAAAAAGGCCAATGGAAATTATTATGAAAATCGACAACGAGTCTACACATACACTATACAATATACTATATGCGTATGCAGCTTATTCTCGTAGATGTGTGTGAGTGTGTGTTGCACAAATTCAATATGTCGACAGTTGTCTCTTGGGTGGCGAATTGAACGAGTGTGCTTGCCGGAATTCGTTTGCTGCCTTTTGGCCTTGGCCATTTACCGTTGCTTACGGCCGATTGATAAGCAACCAACTTGTGGAGTGGCCGGCCAGTCGTGACAGACAGACGGACAGACAGACAGAAAGACCGATCGGCCGAATAACCAGAGAAGTAACCACCAACGACACACAACGCCTCCTGAGGGCTTAATTGGTCCTGGGCGCGCAGATGTCCCCACAACAGTTTTCGGACATCGTCATGATTAAATTTTGGCCATCACTTGGCCAGTGACGCAGCTACGGGTATGGAGGTACAAGTAGGAGGAGGAGCCGGTGACAGCTGTGGGGGACGTCTGAACAAATTGCGCATATAATTAGCCAGTAATTATGCTTTTAACGCACGCATGAACACAAGCATAATCACACGAAAACAGACACGGACGTGGACATGGACACGGATACGGACACGGACATAGACATGGAAACGCACATCCGTTGTCAGTTGCACATTTCACAGTAAATTGCGTATACGTCACGTGCGCTGCAATTGCGACGGGGGCAATTGGGACGACTGGGGGGTAGGGTGGGCAGCGAATTCGGCCGCTTTTCTATCGATACAAATGCAAATTGAATTGCAATTAATGTTGATTGGTCTGCAAATGTAAAACACACTCATACACACACAAACACACAGAGAGACAGCCGCACTTCCATTTGCAGTTACCATATCGTACATTATAATTTTCATAGCATGCTATGCATTGTTTTTATGGCCGTGCCAAGACCCAGACCCCGATCCCAATCCGGACCCGGACCCGAACGCACGGACGCCTGCATGCTACAATCAGTCCAGTCAGTCGGACCACCCATTATTTCAATAATTGCTTTAAAGTGCCATGCGCAGTAAGTGCGTGTGGGCCTGGGTCTGGGTCTGTCGGTATTGTTGTCGTTGTCGTTGTCGGTGGCGGCCGATCCATCTGTCAGCTGGTCTGTGTTTTTGCTTGCATGCCGTCAATGCGTCGGTCGGTGCCTCATTGACCTGGTTTTGTTGCAGCTTTATTACAATTCGATTATTGGTATCGTAATGGCAGCGGCGCCGCAAATTGCCGGCAATCGAGCCAAAGTCGGAGCACAAATTGCGTTTTCAAAAACGAGCGCACGGCTCCATTTCAGCCAAGTCCGCTATTACCAATTCATATGGGGCATTGCTTTTCAGGCCCACATAAGAGCTCTAGGCTTCACCACCTACCTATGGGTAGTTAATATTGTCGACAGAGTTCATTTGAAATAATAATTATTTTATTGCCTCAAATGTTTTTGCACAATCCAGGGCTTATTCCAAACGATAAAGGAGGTTAGCCTGGGTTCTGTGAAATGGCCTAGACAGAAAAAGAAGGCACTGGCATCTTCAACCTCAGCTGAAAAGCTGGAAAAAAATACCAGATATTACAATTGTCTAAATTAACCATAAGCAAGCTATCGAAAAATAATTGGAAAATATGCGAATAATACAAATAATATGTGGGAAAATACTTGTATTATTTTTCTTAACAATATGCACTTAGTCTTAAGACCAAGCACCACTTCCGATTCAATAGAAAATAAATGTATCCTTAGAATATGTAATTAAATGCATGTTGATTCTGTTAGACCCGGCTAATCCCATGTTTTTCTTTCCATATCACTCCTGCTGCGATTTAAATGCGAATGTTGCTGTAGAAACACCGCTATGGCTGCTCTTGCAAGTGGCGCCCATTCGCAACGAAAGGGATTTGGTTGTGCTATTCCTGTTGACGTTTCGGGACATAACGGCGCTGAAGCAGCCGATCGACAGCGAGGACACCAAGGGTGGTAAGCCTATTGCCTAAGCGTTTTATCTGAGCATATTCGATATTTAGCCTAAGCGTGTATATATGTAGTTATGTATATAAAAGATCATCAGAGACACTGCCACAAATAAATTGCCCCACTCGCAATCACTCACCATAAACGAGAACTCCACACCGATACCAGAAGACTTGATTGGCCTCTCCCATACACTCCTAAGCACACTATATCATGCTCTCTCTCTCTATCTCTCTATCTCTCTCTATTTGTTTCTCTCTGTCTAATATGAATGATACTTACTCTCGAATTTGCGTTTAAATTATCAACTGTACCTACTCTATTGTTTGCTCTCTTTCTCTCTTTGTCTCTCTCTATTTACCACACTCGCAATACACCGTCATCTGCAACCCTGCAATCCACACACACACACACACACACACACACACACACACACACACTCAAACAAACAAACAAATCATATGAAAATGCTTATGCATTGTATATAAAAACATAAAAACACCGATTATCTCTTTATATACCTACTATATATGTATGCAAAATATGAATGATTATATGTATGTATGTATGTATGTATATATCTGTGTGGAAACACAATAATCAACATGATGACCATCTCTGGTTTATCTTGCATCTACAATATTATTCTTGTATCTTTGTTTTATTTTTCTTTTTTTCTGTGCTCTTCTTTATTTTCTTTGCTGTAATATACGCGCTCTTGCTCGTCGCTCTCTCTCTCTCTCTCTCGGTCTCTTTACAATAGCGGTTAATCTTTTCCTTCCAGTTTTAGGGCTCTCGAAATTCGCGAAATTAGCCCGCTCGGTGACGCGCAGTCGCCAATTCAGCGCCCACTTACCAACGCTGAAGGATCCAACGAAGCAGTCGAATCTGGCGCATGTGAGCACGATCTTGAGGGTTCTCTCACTTCCAGTCCGCTACATAATTAACAAACACACACTTTCTCTCTCTCTCTCTCTCTCTCTCTTTCTCTCTCCATATTTCACGATATCCGATGCAGATGATGTCACTGAGCGCCGATATTATGCCGCAATACAGACAGGAAGCGCCGAAGACGCCGCCACACATACTCTTGCATTATTGTGCATTTAAAGCAATTTGGGATTGGGTGATATTGTGTTTAACATTTTATACCGCCATCATGGTGAGTCCCCCATTCTCATCGCCAGCCCTTCCTCTTATAAATCATATCGCATAACCGAAATGAATGTTGTTGCTGCGGCAGTTGTTTTTGTGGGTTGCCGCGACACACAACTCAGACCCCTTTCCCAGCACCTGACCTGACCGACCACCCATTTATCATGATGTTTGTTTTTTTGGGACAAGCCTCACATCCAGTCACATAAGTCAAGCATGGCGTCTGGCGTCCCACACTACTTAGACACGCCCACGCCCATGCCCAGCCCCCTCCCCCTGCCAGCTGTGCAGCGCCTATTCATCTCGGTACCTCGTGCTCGCTTCGCTGCTATTATTATTGTTGCTGTTGTTGTTGTTGTTGTTGTTGGTGCGGTTGTTGTTTTTGTCGCTTGTCTACTTGAATCGTGCTTATTTCCGTCAACAAGATGTTAACATTTTCGCTTAAATTGCACTCAACAACTCAACTTGACTCACACACACACACACACACACACCCACACATGCTCGTACACATTTGTTCGTGTGTGTATGTGTGCGTGTGTGCTTTATGCCCGACGGCTGGCTGGCATCCGCCCACGCCCATTTTGTCTAGTACCAGGGACTGGCTTTGGGTTCGTTTTACAATTCGCGCCGCTTCTCTTGCCTGAAAACAAAGTCCGCTGCATACTTTTCGGCGCTGGCCAAAATTATTTCATTAAAAGCCTACGGCATTGCCTGCATATTTTCATGGCAGCGCTACAGCAATTTCCCCAGGCACTCTACGTACATATACATATATTTTTTTCATTATTTAATGAAATCAGCGTCGCTCTTTGATGGATTTATAGATTATTTTGCGAAACTTTTAAGCGCTCATTCGATTAATGCCCAAAATAAAAGTGCATGATTTTGGAGGCAACTTTTTAGTTGAATTCGACACAAATGCAATATTTGCATACGAGTATTTCCACTTTGTTGGGTCTTTAAATGCTGAAATGTTCCACATTCGAACCAAATTTAAAAAAAGGGACACCTAACATACGAAAATCAGAGGCTCGCTGAAACATTTAACATTCAATACAGAGCCATTCATTTTGTGTTGAAGAGCACTTTGAAGTATAAAAAAATTATATATCTGAGAATATTAAATAATATCAGTTTACTATCGTTATTTTAAGGTAGAAATCGAAAAGTTTTAAATGAAATAGAAACGTCAGTGTGTTGCAGAATTGTAGAACCTACTTTCTTGCTTGAGTATATTTAAAAGAAATTAAGTTCAAATATTTATTTTAAGAATTCGCAAACTCAAAAAAAAAAAAATCGTGAATTCTTCCAATTCTAATTGGTTTCGTATCGCTTGATATGAGTTTATAAGTATAATGGCGATTTAATTTAATTATAATACAATTCTAGCTAAGTAATGCGAAAGTCAGGGCATAATTTTTGAAACCAAGATTTTCATCTGGCCGGAAAGAAAGGAATGCCTTCAAAATGCAATAGAAGAGTTAAGCTTTAAAGAACTTATTTTCAACTACTGGTTTAATAAAGTGTACATTGTATACATTAAAAAAATTGAAGAACTAGTATTTAAATTGAAAAGAAAACTATTTGTAAATATCTATAAAATGTTTGCGACTCCCACAGTGGGAATAGACCCTAGATTGGTCAGTCGCAGTCGCAAACAGTGCTTTTTGGGCAAGTTCTGACAATTTCTACAACAAAGCAAATGTCTGCTGGTATGGTTGCTTTATAAACAAGCTTTCTGAAACTTTATAAGCGACCCACGTGGCATAAAAGCGTGGATAGACCGTTCACAAAGTCAACTACATACAAGTCAAGAAATCAGATAATGGTCGTTACAGTTCTCTCTCTCTCCCTCTCGCATGTGCACACACACACACACACATTTGCATATCCAAGTGGCAAACGAGCAGACGACACAACTTTGGTTTGCCACTGCCAGTGTCTAGGAGGAGGATATGTGTGGCTGTGCATGTGTGCGTGTGCGTGTGTGTGAACCGCTTATGGAGGATCTGTGTTATGTGCTTAAATTAATGTACATATATATAGAGAGAGAGAGGAGGAAATCGGTAACCGCAACAACAATGAGCCGCAGTCTTAGGCGGAGGCATACACAGTGCTCCACAAGAGCAATGTATGCATGAGGGGGCATGTAACTGTAGCAGGCACTTAAAGTAACAGAAAAGATAACAGCAACCGCAACAACAACAACAACAACTACCACTAGCTGCAATAAGGAGGCACCACAAACTGTTGCTCAACAAGCACAAGCCCAACCTCCGCCTCCGCCTCCGCCTCAGCGTAAGCCTGTGTCTCAGTTTGAAGTCAGCCTAAAGACCAAAAAACACTTAAGCCGCTTACCACGCAACCAGCAGACACATAGACAGACAGGCAGACAGACAGATGGACAGATAGACAGACAGACGGGCATACAAACCCTGATTGACATGCCACAGGCTGGCAATTGTAACAAGCTGTAATAATGCCCTCATCGTTTGTACTCATCCCAATCGCAGGTGCCATACAATGTAGCGTTTAAAAATAAAACCTCAGAGGATGTTTCCCTGCTCGTCGTCGATTCGATAGTCGATGTAATATTCTTTATAGATATTGGTAAGTAGGAACAAGTGCCATCGGCATAGCACACAACAACTATACTATGCTCTATGTACCCGATTAGTGTTAAACTTTCACACCACCTTCGTCGGACCCGGTGGCGAGGTGGTTAGCGATCCTAAGGTCATACGAATGAACTACCTGAAGTCATGGTTCATCATCGATCTGCTCAGCTGCCTGCCCTACGATGTTTTCAATGCCTTCGACCGGGACGAGGATGGCATCGGGTCGCTGTTTAGTGCGCTCAAGGTGGTGCGACTGCTGCGCCTTGGCCGTGTGGTGCGCAAGCTAGACCGCTATCTGGAGTACGGGGCAGCCATGTTAATACTATTGCTCTGCTTCTACATGCTGGTGGCGCACTGGCTAGCCTGCATTTGGTATTCGATCGGACGTAGCGATGCCGACAATGGGGTAAGTAGTCCTCTATCGCCACCGCCTAGGCATCCCCCTTCCACCTATACATACTATTCGTTATTGCAGATTCAATACAGTTGGCTGTGGAAGCTGGCCAATGTGACGCAGTCTCCGTACTCGTATATCTGGAGCAACGACACTGGACCCGAGCTAGTCAACGGTCCCTCGAGGAAGAGCATGTATGTGACAGCCTTGTACTTTACGATGACCTGCATGACCTCAGTAAGTCGAAAGCGCCCAGCAGGCGTACATCATATAGTCTAGATAAGCTTGTCCAGACTTCGAAGCCCCTTTCCCTAAGACATTACCATGACGAAACTAAAAATGGCTGACATCGACCGGAAATCTGCCTTAGCTTTCCCTTTTAAAAGCAATTGTGGCTTTAGAGTTTTGAAGGATTATGCCTATTTTTGAAATTAATAGAAAACGATGGTTAGAACGAATATATTTTGGAGCATTTCGGCTGCAGCAGAGCAGAGCAGGAAAGCTAATTCTGTACCACTGTCCAATACAATATTTCTGCCTTGTAGTTAGAATTGAAAGGGGGGGCTTCAAAATACTGATTCTTTAGCAATTAAACTCTTTGATTTTAGTCCAATTGCTAGCCAGTTTGTTAATATTGGTGATAGTTGCCGAAATTCTAGTTCTTTAGAGTCAATACTTCTCTCAATTTAACGCTCGAATTAGCTTCGACGAATGCTGAAGTTAAGGAGACGCGGAAAAAAAAAGACAGACAGTCAGGGATAGAGCTAACCTGCTAAGAACAAAATATGAATATGCAGTTAGAAAGATGAATTCCTCTGAATACCAGAATATGAATATGCAGTTAGGAAGATGAATTCCTCTGAACTGCCAGAATGCCAAACCGCAGCTACAATTGAACTAATCTCTCTTTATGTCTGATTCTCTTTACAGGTGGGCTTTGGCAACGTAGCTGCCGAGACGGACAACGAGAAGGTGTTCACCATCTGCATGATGATCATTGCAGGTGCTGTGTTCAAACACGTTCCGTTGCCGCGTCCAAGTTTCCCAAACGCGCAACGCTTTTAAATCAACGCTCCAATCGTAATCATTTAAAAGCTGTAGAACATTTGTGTGCCCCGCACAGAGTTGTGTGCCCACCCGATCGTTTGCTCAGCCTCCTAAAAATCATGTACAATTTAACGAAAAGAATAATGATGCGGTGGCTATGGATTGGGCCGCCTGGGCTGGGCAAGCATCGGTGCACGTGATTCTTAGACACAAATAGCGCCGCTAGAACTAATAACTGCTGGAATTGGTGTAGCAACCGCCCCTGCCCTCACAACAGACACTCCAATACGCACACACACACACACATAATCAATATTTGAACTGACTTCATTCACATTCCCTTCTTTTCCTATTATCGAGAGAAATTTGATTTTTCTTCGTGTTCTTTGGAATTAATTTTTATTGGACATAGTTGGACAATTCGTCGCTATGTGTGAGTTATTTTGTCGCCTCTGTTGCTGTCTCGTTTTGTGTTTTGTGTAATCATCGCAATCATCTTTCTCATCGTCCGCAATCTCGTCAACAAACACAACTCAAGTAGCCACACACTCTCCACATTTTCCATCCTTTCCAGAAATGCTAGGCACACATTGCGCCAGCGCGTCGTGCACAATTTATTGAGTATATTGAGTTGAGGGATCAGCTCTTAGATATACATACGACGCATGCGCGCAATGTGCGCCTCAGCACCTTTTCCTCAGCATTTAATATTGTTGTCTGTATGTGTATGTCTTTTCTTGTCGCTCGTCCAATTCGCCGCATTTATTACTGTTCTAGCCACGCGCATGCGCAAATCGACTTGTAACACGCTCCTCGACTATCTGCGCGCTTCTTTCTCTACACACTACTTGTAGACTCCCCGAACTTAGACTAAGTATCAGATAACTCCAGCAACCAAGTGTACTCATACCTCTGTCTCTCTAAGGCACGAACTCACTCAAACACCAACGCCAACACCAACACACACACACACACACACACCCATAGCCACACTCACAGAAACACAGACACTCACATACTATATGTATCATGCATAAGGTAGTGCTGTGCCTGCTGTCTGACATTATGTGGGCGGTACTTCGTGGGATATTTTGTCATCTAAGCTCTAACAGTCTCTTCTTGTCTCCCATGCCGCTCCCCATGCGATCGCATGAAAATGTACCACAACCACCAACACCACCACCACCAACTACTACTACATATCTATAGCTCTACTGTACGCGACGATTTTCGGTCACGTGACCACCATCATACAACAAATGACCTCGGCCACCGCCAAGTACCACGACATGCTGAACAACGTGCGCGAGTTTATGAAACTGCACGAGGTGCCGAAGGCGCTCAGCGAGCGGGTGATGGACTATGTCGTCTCCACGTGGGCCATGACCAAGGGGCTCGATACCGAGAAGGTAAATTTTGCCAGCACCTAATTAATATTAACCAATTCGCAATAGTTGAGCAGACCAGTCACTGCCACCGATGTCTCATCCCAAGCAATAGTAAACAACAACAACAACAAAATGACCACCAAAAGATATTTATATAAAATGTAGATCATTCGCTTTTTATTTTGCTGGAAAGCTTGCAACGCTTTTTGCGTCCCTTCCTAAAAAAACCGCATAGACATGAATGAAAGACTTATGTATATAAAACCTAGCGGATTGCTTTCAAATCAAATCATTCATAGATCAATAAATATGCATATCATAGATATTAATCTTCATTTCTCCAAATCAGCGCTTTAAATTAGTAAAAGAATTTTATTATAGATATTTGTAGATATACTTTATTAATACATCTATATTTGATGAGCACCAAAAACACGCGTATCTAATGGTTTTCCGCTTTTGATGGAAAGTTGAAACAACACCTTAAGATACCTTTTCTATTGAACGACTTCTAGATCATCTTTGGAGAAATGCATCCAAACATACTTGTATTTCAAAACAAACTTCAAGGCAAATTTCTGCCTTGGATGTGCCTTGAAAGAGACGGTTGAGCTACAAAATAGAATATACTACGTAGTCTCTGGTTTCGAAATGCTTTTTGCATTCTTTCAGCGATTTAGTGCTTGGTCAAATATTATTGCAGGTCTATTCATAAACTCAACATTTCTAAGGAAATTTTTGATAAAACCCTTCAACAAGTATTGCAACTAGGAAACCCACTAAAATGTTATTGGATATTTCATCTGTAGCTGTTAGATAGCCTGGACAAGTTTCAACATATTTATTATCCATAAATTATTATTAATGCTCTATCTTGTGCCTAGAATAGAGAACTAACAAATATTTATGTAAATGTGTGTATGTACATGGATTTGCGAATGATAAGGCTCTGTACATACTATACATATACAAGTATGTATGTATATCAAGAAAACGTAGAGCACTTCATCTCTCACTGTCTCTAATACACTCGACGTACAACTTAAAACGCAGCACTCGTACTCACACCTCTCACTTATCACCTAGAACTCGTAGCTTCCGCTTCTATGCGCTCTAGTCGATTGCACACACATAAATACTCTACTCACCTACTACACAGTACTTATGTATGTAGATACGAGCGGGTCTTACATTTTCTAGAGCCAATGTGACTTAAAGACCCCCATTGCTTCGTTTTTTGACAGCTCCTCAAGACAACAACTTCCTTACACTCACACCGACACACTCTCTCACACCGACACCAAACTCTTCCCATTTTCAAGAACTCTAAATTCTATTTTGAAAAAATAATAATATTTATGACAATGACAAAAACTATTAACACCTTCGCGCTCGCCTCCGCCTCCGTCGTCGCTACCACTACCGCTACTGCTGTTGCTTTATTTTTCCTATCATTTAAAAGTTGCTTCCGCATATTCAGCAAAAATATTCGAAGCCAACGAACAATAACTTAAAGCCATTTTGTAAAAACGTAGCAATAGTTAAGCATTCCTCGCCCTAAACATTAAACAACAAAAACCCTTTACCGAAACACAAAATGCGCGTATTACTCGTACTATGAGCGATTGAGAGCCGAGGTAAGCTGCCCAAGGTGTGTATCTTTGCAGGCGCTCTGTGCAAGCCCAGTACCAAAATTATATAACAAGAACAATGCTGTACTATATAATACTCGTACTTATTTATTGCAACCTGGTATTTAATCTGTAAAACAAATAGTATAACAATAACAACAATTACAACCACAATATTGCCACCAAAAATAATTATCAATGCCAATATCATTTTGCTAACTCACAAAAAATCTTCTCTCTGTATTTTCCAATGATCAACAATTCTCTCTTTGTTCGCTGCTCGCTGCTCGTGAGCAAAATCCGGGCCAAAACGAAAAGCGTCCGTCAAATTCATGCCTTTAGATGAACTTAAACCAAACAGCGCCACGCCCCCGCCCCCTCCCGGGATGGGGCGTGTCTGCTAGCACAAGAATTGTAGACTCGTTTGGTTTAACAACAACATGAGCAGAGTTTACACTGATGTTCGATGAAATCCAACCGCAACAACTAAACTGACCTTTATACCTATTTCGTTGACTGTAGTTTGTGCCGTAGTAGGGAACTGCGTTAGGGTACAGCCCTAGGGAAGAACCGTAGACGACCCGCTTGCCAGACGGCTCGCTTAACATTTGGCAACCGGACGCCCAAAAGGGTCGGGGTCACTTCATTTAATCCTCTATGGGTCTGCCAAAGTGGTCAGCTTGACAGGTGCCTATTTTTTGAAGGGCAACCAGGAAGCTCCACCACACACACACCCTCAACCACACACACACACACACATAGCCCGAAATCTTCACACACATACACACACACGAAGACAATCTACAAACGACAACCTCACGCCTCCCCCCCAGCCGCACAGAAACCAATGCAGAGACACTCGTTGAACACGTCGTCCAGTAAATTCGTCAATGTTGTATGTGTATTAGTGTATGTGTGCGTGTGCGTGCCTCTATCGTTTTTACAATAGCAAGCAATCCGAACCCCTCACAATAACACTCCCCGAATATTAAATAGGACCACATGGTTCATTATAAATTGTGCGCCGCACCCGGTCCACCAAGTATATTCCATTCAAATCCAAATCCAAATGCAAGTCCCATGCCCATAAAGCCTTCGTCGTCGAAATCCACACTTCCCAATTCCAAGTCCAAGTCCAAACCCAAGCCCTAATCCTAAAGACCCAAGCTCCAAGCTCCAAGCCCCTGTCTATGCCAACTATTCAATTGGGCACAAAAATCCCAAAAGCGGTTTAAGAAGAACAAGAACAAGATGAAGATAAAGAAGATAAATACGAAGAAGAAGCAGAGCACACAACGCAACTCGCAACTCATTCACAATTCGCAGGTACTAAACTATTGTCCGAAAGATATGAAGGCTGACATATGTGTTCATCTAAATCGCAAAGTATTTAACGAGCATCCAGCATTTCGTCTGGCCTCGGATGGTTGTCTGCGTGCATTAGCGATGCATTTTATGATGTCCCACTCGGCACCGGGGGATCTGCTCTACCACACTGGCGAGAGCATCGACAGTCTGTGCTTCATTGTGACGGGCAGTCTGGAGGTCATACAGGATGACGAGGTTGTGGCAATATTGGGTAAGTCTTAGCCATGTTGGTGTTCACCTACCGAATGCTTAAATCTAATGGCCACTGGCCATCTTCTATACTCTCGCCCCACCCGTGCTCTCCTTTCTTTTTTTCTCTTCCCGATGTGTGCGACAAAGGCAAAGGCGACGTCTTCGGCGATCAATTCTGGAAGGACTCGGCCGTTGGCCAGAGTGCCGCCAATGTGCGGGCACTGACCTATTGTGATTTGCATGCCATCAAACGTGATAAATTGCTCGAAGTCCTCGATTTCTATTCGGCATTTGCGAATAGCTTTGCACGCAATCTGGTGCTCACCTACAATCTCAGACATCGACTGATTTTTCGCAAGGTGGCCGATGTGAAGCGCGAAAAAGAATTGGCCGAACGGCGTAAGAACGAGCCACAATTGCCCCAGAACCAAGATCATCTCGTTCGAAAGATATTCTCCAAGTTTCGGCGCACCCCCCAAGTGCAGGCTGGCAGCAAAGAGTTGGTCGGTTCTGGCCAGAGCGACGTCGAGAAGGGTGACGGCGAGGCGGAACGCACTAAGGTGAGTCTGCGGCAGACCCACAACCAGCAGCTCCATGTCCATGCCAATGCGATATGATGTTTTGTTATGTGGTGTGATGTGATGTGATGTGATGTGCGTTCAATATGTGTTTGCTGTAATCGCTCTTCGTTTGTAGAATTATCGTTATAGTTGTTTTGATTTGATTAAAAAACAATTATTAATAATTGTAATGAAAACCCATACACAAAACCCACTCTTTCTCTCTACCTTTAATGTTTGAGAGTTTGGTTAATGGATGGGTTTTGTGTGCGCTACTATTAGTTTGGTTCAGTTCTGCTCAGTTTTGTTGAGTTCTGTTCTTTGTTGTGTGCGTATGTATCGGTATTTGTAAGTGCATTTAATTCAAGTATGTATTGAAATATCAAAGTATATGTATATGTGTATTTAACCTAACATTTTTGATGCATTGTTATTAATGAACACCATAACAGCCACAGCCACAGCCACTGCTCAGGTTTGTTGTTGGCCGTGTGGCCGTCAATCAATCACTGATCGTTAATACAGTTAATTAATGTCGTTGGTATTGTTACAATTGTCTTTTTATTTTCATACAATATTCATATTTAAATGCAACAGATGTGTAAACAAGTGACTTATGCTCGATATGTGTCTTTTTTGTCTTTTTAACATGCTTACGCTGTAACTCTCTATCTCTCTCTCTCTCCCTTTATCTCCTTCTCATGCATACACACACACATACATATTTCTTTTCTCACTCTCGATCGATAACATATCCAACATAACCTCAAACTGCACGCGCACAATCCATCACTTAATCATCACTCATCTCTATTTCCCATCGATCGTTTTCTGTTCATCTCTCGCTACTAAACTCCCACCCATTCTCTTTCATGCGCTCTGGCAATTTGTTTTGTTTCATTCCATTACATTCCATTCCGTTGCTGCTGTTTCATCCGTGTCTGTCGCTGTACAATATTCTGTTGTCAATTTGGCTAAATAATAAATGTTACCCCCTGGAATTAATTAACAAAATTACTAACGAAAAAATTCTGAACTATTTTCCACACATGTATCTCACACTCCGTCCGGCCATCCCTAAACCTGACCCACCATGACCCACCCCTCCTGCGCTACGTCCGTTCGTTTGAACTTCTAAACACGGCGTACTTTCCGTACTTCACACATCACACGACACTCTCTTCTTTCTCTCTCTCTCTCTCTCTATCCGTTTCTTTCTCTCCCCGCTCTCGCTCACTGCCTATTTCCTGCTGTATTGCGCTCGCCAAATCTATTGCTATACTGCTCGTTAAAAACGATCGATCGATCCATTACCAACCTATCCAAGAAGCTACCTGCCAAACTCACATTAACAGAGGACTCACGCATTCTAACAACCGCCGCCGTACCCTCACCGTCGCCATCACCCTCGCCCTCATCGGGTCCACCATCTGCACGTAGTACCCGTGCTAGCAAATGGGGACGCCTTCTGGGCAGTTCAAGTGTCGATTCAGCTAGCGATACTAGCGCCAAGGTAGCCGTCTCGAGAAGTTTGAGCGCCCGCGAAAGTCTGCGTGAGAGCACTGCCCAAGCGAGGCAGAGTAGTACTTCGAGTAGCAATGGTGGACAAGGGAATAAAGTAATTACCGTTAATAAGAATACTAAACTAAAACCAAATACAAAACAAACTTTAAAATTATCCATTAAAAAGAGAAAAGATAAGAAATTTGCCAATTTTCGATTAACATTAATATTGATTTCTTTAACGAAATATGCAATACTATACTTGTATGTATGTTTTGGCTAAAACATTAATGCTAACTCTATTTTCGTTTCGTTTGTTCTTCTTCCACGTACGACTTTCGTTCTTCGATTCCACCATTTTGCTTTCATTTATTAATTCGATTTGTGTGCCATTTTCGGTTTTGCTGAAATCTCCAGCATTTACAATTAAGCAAAGTAAGTTTCACCGATCAGTTAATTACTGCTAGTTGCGAATTATTTATTTGGCATTTAGAACTTAAGTAGATGATGCTCTCTCTCAATGTGTATCGCTACCTGTACGGTTCGATATCTGCATATACATACATATGTATATACATACGAGTAGTAGACAGAACAGTAACGAAATGGGCCTTTTTTTTACAAAAAAAAAAAAAAAAAAAAAAAAAACAACGATGTTATCACATGAGATGATGATAAGATTATGATGAGATGATAATATTATGATGAGATGATGTCGAGATGATGAGATGATAAGATACAAGGGCCGGCACGATATCGACAATAGCGCTTTGTTACTGTTCTGTCCACTTGGTTAGACTTTGTATTTAGTGCGCTGCTCCCATGCACCACAGGCACTGTGACAAGTCACAATTCACAGATATAAACCGCTTTGTTTCTTCCTTAAACTTAAATCGATTGATATGTTTCTATATTTCGTTTACCGTTGACTTTTCCCCCGTACAAACGAACAAAATTCGCTTGCCTCACTGCAATTACAACCACTGCGACAACAATCAACAACCAACAACGACAAACAAACAAAATCAAATCGATTGGACGCCTGCTATTTAAACTTTTATTAAACCGTTCCACATGCAACTCTGTCTTTGATCCGATTTGATTGGAATCCACTTGCACTTGCCACCCGCACTTTGCAACGTTTCGCAACGCCACCACAATCGAAATCTAAATCAAAACCAAAATATAATTCTAAATCAACAACAACAAAAACAACTCTGAATGAATGCGCAACAACAACATGAAAAACAATCAAACAATCGAACCTAAAAATCAACACACTTCTAAATCAAAACTCAATCACTCTTCTCCCTCTTTCCCTGCTATCAACTGATTAATCAACCAATCAAATTTTCAACCCAATTAAATCCGCCCACAACGAATAAACCGAACCGTACACAACTAAAACTCACTGAACCACCGATCCACCGATCTACCGATCTCTCTTCAACTGCCTGTTTACCCGCTCAACCTCCACCACCTGCCTCTGCCTCTGCCTTTGCCATGTTCCATTAAACGCCACCTTCAGGTTTTTCCCAAGGCGCCCAAGCTGCAGGCGAGCCAGGCGACGCTTGCCCGCCAGGACACCATCGACGAGGGCGGCGAGGTTGACTCCTCCCCACCAAGTCGCGACAGCCGCGTGGTCATCGATGGTGGTGCCGCCACGACTACAACAACAGCAGGCGCCACTACAACGCCTGCACCCAGTGGGACCGGGACCGCGACCGCCAAGGAACGCAACCTGGCACTGGAGCGCGAGCGACAAATCGAAATGGCCTCCTCCCGAGCCACCACATCAGATACCTACGACACGGGTCTGCGCGAGACGCCACCAACGTTAGCGCAACGCGATCTCATCGCCACAGTGCTCGACATGAAGGTTGACGTGCGACTGGAACTGCAACGCATGCAGCAGCGTATAGGTCGGATCGAGGATCTGCTGAGCGAGCTGGTCAAGCGGCTGGCACCTCAGATGGACTCCAGCGGACAGACGACTCCTGGCGAAGAGATCTGCAGCGGTTGCGGCAGCACAACGACGACGACGACGGTGGCTGCGGCGGGGGCAGGCGCCGGAAGCCCCACAACACCTGCCACGGCAGCGGCCACCACACCCGTGGACACTGTGATAACAATCTCATCACCCACGGCAGCGGCAGCAGCAGCGGCAACCACAGGTGCGCCATCCTCGTCAGGGGGCGGTGCGGCGAATGCTGGCGTTGGCGCTGGCATCGGTCTACTAAATCCAAGTGTCCAAGTTGTGTCGAGCGCGGGAGGCAACGGCCTGGGGCCACTGATGCTCAAGAAGCGACGCTCGAAGAGCAGGAAAGCACCGGCGCCTCCTAAGCAGACACATGCGACGGCAGCCGGAGCGAGCGCAACACTAACGGGTGCTATTGGATCTGGTACGACGAGCGTGACAGCGTCAGCGTCCACATCAGCGTTGGCATTGGCAGCCTCCACGCCAGCGCCCAGTCCATCGGCAGAAAAGCTGCAGCTGCGTCTACTTGAGGAGGACTTCACGGCGGCTCAGTTGCCGCAGAGCAGCGCCAGTACGCCTACAACGACAGCCACAACTCCGCCCCCAGCGGCGGCACCGGCTGCTTCCCCAACGGGCAGTGCAACGACCACACCAACCGGCGCACCACCAGCCCTGCCCACGCCCACGGGCAGCAGCAGCGGCAGTGGCCGCGGCTCCAAGCGCGAGTTTCTCTAGCCCAAGATCCTGGTGCGCCATCAGTCGGTGGATAGCAGCAGCTTCGAGCAATAGTATTCGCGGACTGAACAAGCGACACACAGATGCCACGCCTACGCTGATTGCCTACGCTTAGCTTGCCTAGTCTATGTACAACTACTACTACTACTACTTATATAGTATATCTTAAGTAATCTCCGAATATGTGCATTGTACCTTGTACATACTCGTATATACGAAAAAAAGAAAACATTGAACAAGGCCGAAGGCCATTGCTTACGCGCTGTGCTCCCTTGCTCTAATCAAACCTTGTTACACTCTCTCCATCTCTTTCAATCGAACACACACACACACTCTTCCTCTCTCTCTCTCTCTCTCTCTCTCTCTCTCTATTTCTTCATCGCCGTCTCACACTCTCAGAGAGTCTTTTTCTACAATCTTCGTCAGACTCCAGCGCTCTCTCCTCCACACATTTACTCTCTCTCTCTCTCTCTCTCGCCCTCTTTGCTCATACACTCACGCTCTCGAATGTGGACAGCGTCTCTCATTTTGAATAGTTGAGTGCAGGATTAAGGCAAGCATGTTGCTTACGAATTTGCTACATTTACTGCAATTATTTACCTTTATATACGAACAATATTGTAAATGAGGAAGGAGTCTATACATACATATGTATGCGTGTACATGTACATAGGTATATGCTACAGCTACATAGAGATTAGTAATATACCTACATATATATAAATGAATATTTTTGTGATAAACGCTAACGAGGAGGCAAGCTGAAGCGACAACTACAGCAGCAACGCTGCACAAGACACACACACACACACACACACACACACACACACACACACACACACACAAACACAAGCCCACAGACAAATGAAATAATGCCCGTGAATTGTACATAGAAAAAGGTTTAAGCAAACCCGCCCACACCCCACCAGTCACCCCTCCAGCACATCCAGTTTCACAGTTTTTCTGGGTCTCACACTACGGCTCAAGAGCCCAACCCAAGATACCCGAACCTGATTTGGGAAATGACTGCCACATTCTTGAACCGGTTAATTATACATACGAGTACTTACTGCTGATAGTTCAGATGTGTACCTTCCGTTTTATCGTGAAAATAATGATCTTAAGGTGTTATTTACTGGAAGTATGTTCCGTCTTCAATTGCGATAGAAAGTGAAGTTGCAGAAAAGCTTTTTCTATACCAAATACTAGGTGAAATTCCAAAAATGGTATCCTACTATCTAAGTTCGTTTCCAGTTGGGATGCTGAGCCCCATCAACTAACACAGGCTTCTAGTTCTAGTTCTGAGCTTATGACACCGGACTAAAGAAACCATCCAGCAGAAGTTGCGATTTTTGCACTGGAAGGCATCATTAATTTCGCTTGATTACATCCCTTTTGCCTCGATTGAGCAACAGCTTCGAGCTTAGTGATCAGTGCTCAGAAGTGACAGAAGTGGAACAGACCCATCCAGCCATCCTCATGAGCGTCAATGCAACACAGAGACTCACCTTAGATGCAAAACAAATACTTACATAGATGTGTGTAGTAGGAGCAAACACAATGCCACATTGTAAATGATTTTTAACGATATTAGGAGCATATTGAAAAATCAAAATATTCAAACACAAGCAAATGTTAACGAAGTTCCCAACCAACAAACAACAATTAACACAAAAAGAACTTAAAATTGCAAGCCGAGGCCGCAAATGAAACGACAATCGACAAACTTAAAACTAAAACCAAAAACCAAAAACAAATGTTAAAGTCTTGAAGAGAGAACTATTAGCTACATAATGAGAAAAATGTGTACATACAAGATACGCTATTGTTTAAAGATTAACAAGCAACGCTGCGCTGTAAAAATGTAAATAAATATACATTTTAATTAGTCTTAGCATTGAGAGGTACTCGCATTCTAGGGACTACTCGTAATACTTACAGAGAAGAAAGCGCATCATCCACAGCGAGCTCAGCAATTAATTCAATTGGCACTAAAGTGTCATATATACATACATATATATTAATTATTTGATACACTCACACACTCACACACACATACACACATACTTTGTGATAAAGTTTCGTAACAAATTATACTTGTATTATTATATATAATGCAGAGAGTGGTAGCAGGTACGAGTATAGGGAAGATATGGAAGGGTAGTGTTAAAATATATTGTTTACGCTCGCATTGAAAAAAGCCTGCACTTGCATATAGTTTATACATACATATAGTATGTACAAGTACATATGTACTTGTGTATGAATATCTCCTTGTTGTTACTATAAATCGAAAGCTGAAGAAACGCATAACCACAACACTCGTACCATAATAGCCAGCATAGTCGTAGAGAAAGGTGCAATTGAAGGAGGATCCGACTACGTGTACACTATACCGATATACTAGTCCTGAGCAGATTATCGAAAGGTTTCATTACGCTTAAGTCGCGTGCATTAGCGTTTGTATTTCGTTTTGGCTCCGTTATGGAACCGTCTACCGTAGCTACTATACTATATATAGAGTGCTTGTCACATTGATTTTTTTTGCCTTGGATCGAGTTCCGGACACAGAGCCCCGAACCCCATGCCCCCATGCCCCCTTGACCCATGCCCCGTGCTCAGAGCTCCGAGCATATATTTAGCTAAAAAGCAATACGAACAGTCTTCCTGATCTGAGATGAACATGGCCGTGGGCGGCATTTGGTGCAGTTGGAGGAGCCGTCGTAGCTAAGGGTTATCTAGTTTTAGTTTTAGTTTTCTAACTCTTGCGAGTAGGATTTAGTAGGTATGGCTTTCTTAATACAATACATACAACCATCAACTGGCTTCTGTTGGCTCCCCCCAATCGAAAAGCAATGCCCAAATCAAGAGACATTGAAGAAGGTGAACACGACGAACACCCGTACAATGGGAATACAATCTAATTTGGACTCTCATGTTGTTACCCGATAGTACTACGAATCAATCAAAACTTTATTAAATAGCATACTATTTATTAATTGAGACTAACGCCGTTTGTTGTTTATATACTTATGTATATTTTTTAATTAATTATGTAGGAAATGAGTTTCTAGCTAACGCAAGTTGGTCGATAGAAACTGCGGGGACTGGGACTCATTGTAAATAGTTTCTTTATATAAGTACGTATATGTATAGATATATGTATGTATGTATGTACATATGTATGTATGTATATAGAGAGACACACCATGTACTTATGAGTTGAGGATTCCCACACACACACACACACACACACACACACACACACACACACACACACACACACGCCCATACACCTAAAAACTGACTAGAAGACATGATAAATAGATATATAGTATATACATATAGCATATATACTGATTTAGACACTCTCGAACACATATACGTATGTGCAATATGCATTGCTCATAGTGCATCCGATATAGCAACTACTTGTAGTATTAACGATGAAGAGTTAGTGAAGGTTAATGAGGAAGGTTAGTTTTGAAATTCGTTCAACTGATTTTTGCATAGTTATCTAAATATATATAGTACTAATATAGCTATGGGTATACTCGTATATCTTTATATATACATATATATATATATATATATATATAGTATAGGGACCGTTTGTTACCGCAGATAGCCAGCTGCAAGATCCAATGAGCTCAAGACACCCCGCCTCCTCCAACACCCTACACACACCATTCCTGCCCCTGCCCCTGCCCCTGCCTATCGGTCATGCTGTGCACTCGCAAAAGAAAAGCAAAAATCCAAGAAAAAACAAAATGAAAAAAATATAAATAAAAAACAAAGCAACTGCAATAAGAGACAACGCTTTAAGTAACCACACTTGACATGTAAATTACAATTAAAATCTTAACAAATATGAATTAGTTACTCGTATTTTGTTGTACATTTTAGGACTTAACTACACAGAGCCTTATAAATTTATGAATGAACAACTAACCTATGACAAGAAAAAAAAAACAAAATGCAAACCAAACCAAGCAAAATAAAATTAAAGAAAATAAAAGAAAAATGTGCAATTACAATTCTAGGTCAAGCGAAACAAAAGCAACAAAGATTAGTCAAAATTTATATATGAAAGGAAATTTATAAATATATGTATATTTACAACTGAGGAAATCCGAATCTTATTCTACTCCCACACACCCACACCCACACACTCACACAAACATACACACACACACACACAGCAAATCTACATACATACGCGCCTATGAACAATTTATTTCACCTTTTATGAATAAATTTATGAATTTACGAGTACTTATGCTATATTCGCTTAGAAGCGCCAAACTGACAAAATACGATATATATACAAGTATATATGTATATACACGTATAGTATATATACACTATAATGTTTAAACAGAATTAAACGAAACACGAAAACCTTAAACAAATTTAAAAAGCTTTTATACGCCAGAATTTTTTTCTAAACAACTATTGAATGAGACATGAATTAAATAATTAATTAATAACAACAACAACAAGAACAAAATACCCACAAGCGCTAAATAAATAAAAATAAAAACACGCCACTTACATGATATGCAAACGAAGCAAATGATATGTAACTAAAAATAATACTCCATATATACATACTTGTATGTGTATGTACAAGTATATATATATATATACAAGTATATATATATATATACAAGTATATATATATATACATATACTAACATATATGTATGTACAAAAGCCTTAACACTCGAGAACTAACCAAGCGCCTCATTTTTTGTAAGCCCGAAGCGAGCACCACGGCATAAATTTCAATTTCAAGCAAATTTGAATACGACATCCAGAAAATACCACACTTTAGAGGTACTTAAATACTCATACAAAATACCAAGTGTTACGCTCTAGAATCTAGACAAACAAAGAACCAAAATTTTACAAGCATGTGCGATAGAGCCACTTAAAACAATTTCCACCAATTCGGGTGCGTAGTTGAAATAAAAAAATAAAAATAAAATAAAAAATAAAAAAAATTATACATATATATACATACATATATATTAAATGAAACACTGATCAAGTTTTTGCGCCCCTTTGTTTAAACGTAAAAATGCTGCCTATTTATATTGTATATTTACATTAATTACTACTGATTGAGAGCAAAAGCGAGCAACACAACAAACAAAACTAAACAAAACAAAACAAATCGAAACGAAGCTAGACAAGAAACAAAAACAAAAACCAAAAACAAAAAAAATGAAATAAAACCAAACGCAGCAACTGGATTCATTTTAGAATAGTCCTCATCGATTGTTACGTTACTATTTTCTGTTTAGAGATAAGTGAGCATATTGAGAGCTACTTGTACAGTAGGCCCCACTCATGTGCCACCACATCCGTATTTACAAGTACATCCAAACTTATTTCAAATAACGTTAATAGTTAATGGGTTTGATAAAGTCTAAAAGTTATAACATTGATTGAAACACAAACACACACACACTCATACAAAGACAATTATGTTAATAATACTTACAAACTCAGACCACACATTAAAGATGAAGATGCCGATGATGGTGATGGTGATGATGATAATGAAGATGAAAGCAAAGTTCTAAAATTGAGCATACTTAAGAAATTATTAGAAAAACAGAGAAATGAGCGTATAAGTTAAAGACGAAGCTAAACAAAAAGTCAAATACAATAAAATTGAAAAAAAAATACATAAACGTTTTTAAAAAAATATATATTATCTTCCCGGTCTTTCTTCTCCATCGTTGAGGGTGAGAGGGAGGTCCACAACCACAAACATTAAACAATTATTATCTTGAAATCAAAAGCAAAAGTAAAAAGCGATCTTTTTGGGGGACGTGGAGGTTACAGTTTCGAATATTTCTTCGATCAAACTTTTTTGAAACAACATATAACTATGCAATGGCCATTAATCATTGAGTTGCAGGCAAATTATTTGCACACAAATTGCTCAAACTCTTCAACTTCAACATTGAAGTCAATCTGTGTCAGACTTCTAGTATAGAGTTGTTATTGCTGTTTGACTGATATAACATAAATGTCGTGTCATTCCTGCCTCATTGAAAGCATACATAAGTGTACAAATTATTTGCCTGTATGACCGTGCTGTTATATTCAAAATGTGTTGTTTTCTTTTATTACCAAGAGACTTTTCAGAAAATGTTTCAATACCGACCATCTCGAAGTCGCCGCCAGAAAGCTGAAAATTATTTTTAAAAATAGTGTTCTGTGCTCAGAACAAGTGCCGGTGCCTTCGCCACTACATGGACTGCCATTTATGCCATACGTGGTGTGTTCAAAAATTAAGGTGGCTTTTCATTTTTCGCGGGCAATTATAATTTTTTTTCTGACCAATCAACTTTTTTATCCGTTAAAAACAAACTACTTTTAAGTACACCTAATACTGTTTTAACACGATCGATTGGTTCCAGAAAAATTCGTGTAAAAAAAGAAATTGATCATAAATCAAAATGAATCGTGCTAAATGGAAAAAAGTCGTGTAACCATATATAAAAGTTGTTATTTTTAAACCGTGTAAAAACAGAATTAGGTGTATGCTATGTATTACTTGAAACTTTGAACATAAGTTCGGGACATGTGTGACAACACAATACAATTTACAACAAAACATTTATATACTTGTATACACCTAATTCTGTTTTAACACGGTGGATTGGTACCAGAAACAACCGTGTAAAAAAAGAAATTGATCATATGCAAGAACAGGTGATTGCATCCTTATCCCTAAAGAAATATATACGAAATTTTTAATTTTCAAACCGTGTTATATCAAAATCGTGTAAAAAAATAGGTGAATACACCTAATACTGTTTTAACACGGTAGATTGGTACCAGAAACAACCGTGTAAAAAAAGAAATGGATCGGTCATATGTTATTTGGAATCGTGCTAAATGGAATAATGTCGCGTAACCATATGCACAATTTTTATACCCTGTACCCGTAGGGTAAAAAAGGTATATTAGGTTTGTGCAAAGTATGTAACATGCAGAAGGAAGCATCTCCGACCCCATAAAGTATATATATTCTGAATCAGCATGACGAGAGAAATCGATCTAGACATGTCCGTCCGTCTGGATGAACGCGAGGATCTCAGAAACTATAAAAGCTAGAATAACCAAAGTTGGCATCCAGATTCTCCTAGGTCCGAGAAAGGACGAGTTTATTTTTTTTTTTGGAATTTTCCCCCCCTTTCCCCGCTACAGAATTTCGTCAATAGCGTCCACATTTCAAATGCTACCTAAACCAAACTTTGCACACATAATTAATATATAATTGTCTACTGTTGTGTAAAATTTTATTTAATTCAGTCAATTCTAAGAAAAGTTATTAGCCAAACAAATTCTCGCCAGTACAACCTCCCCAAACTGCAGCAACAAGTTCGCTCTTCTTCTTCCTCTTTTTGCTGCTGCTATGGGCGCATATAACTCAGTGACGGAAGTTTACCTGGGTACAGGGTATTACACTGTCGGGCTTGCTCTCTTGTTTATTTTCAAACCGTGTTTATTCAAAGCCGTGTAAAAACAGAATTAGGTGTACAACCTTTTTAACACAACACGTACAGCGAGGATGAAGCCAGCTAAGCCATTCCTAGCCATTCTTTGTATGCACCCCAAATTATACTGCCCTTCCCGTTCCGTTCCGATATAGACAAGAAACAACTTCAGTTTAGTTTTATCGCGAATCAAATCAGCTTTAATGTCCTACTTTTGAGTAGTTTGCATGGAAGGCGCAGAGTGTACCTAGGGTCAGTGTTAAGGTTAAGGCTACGTGTGGTCTCAGTGCTGTCAACTATCTAGAATCTAGAACTAGCTGTAGGTAAATACATATAGAAACTAAATCTACATATGTATGTATGTGTGTCTGTGATTTATTTATGCATACTTTAAAGGTCGTGCATGACAAAAGTTAGAACTAAGCTGCGAGATGTTCGCACATCTCCCTTAGGATCCATTCACTGTTTTGCTTTAGGTGTGGGGCGGGCAGCCTTAAAAATTAAATTAACTAATCAACGAAGCTTATTCGAGTCGTGGATGCGATCGGGCCGCATATCTTTTAGGATGCACGCAATCGAGAGCGAACTAAATATAAATAAACACTGCAGTGCTCGTTATTGGTGGCGACTACTTAACAACTAAGACTTAAGATGGCTCCCAGGGAGCGTATAAAGAGACGAAATACTAGGGCTACGACTCTTGCCCTATGTCTGAACCCTAATCGGGTGACTAAGACTACCTACTATGCATGTATTTGTATGTATGTATATATGTATGTGTGTATGGGTTTATAATAAATTAGCAGGATACATAAAAAAAAACATTGCTTAGAGTTAGACGATGCTTTGCGGGAACTTTTCACTAAGGCGCAGGTCCTGGACCGCCAGTCCCTACACCTCAATACTGTTGAGACTGCCCGAGGATATGTTGTCCGTGTGGCTGCCGAGGCGTGTGCGCTTGATGAGGGCGCGCGCGGGCATCGGAGAGCGCTGCACGCGTGGGCTGCCCGGCACAATCGGAATGCCAACGACCCCGCAGCCACCGCCATTGTGCGCCAGGGCGGCGTGGTGCAGATGTTGGTGGTGGTGCGGCAGGTTGTTGTTGTTATTATTGTTGTTGTTATGGTGATTGAGACTGGTGTGGCTGTTGTGCTGGCTGCCCGAGGAGCGCCGCTGGCGCCGCAGCGAAGGTATACGTGTGGGCGTGGGCAGCCCCTCGTCAAGGCCATACCCATGTGGCGGCGTCTGCTGCTGCTGCTGGAGCTGTTGAAGGCCACGCACGCTCCGCTCCAAGGTGCGGCGGTGCTGATCCAACATGGGGGACGCGGCGCCTCCGGGAGGCTGTTGGTAGTAGGCGGCATGCGGAGGCACAGGCGGTGGCTGCTGCTGGTGCTGGAAGTCATGCGAAGGCGCCAGACGCTTGTGCAACATTGTGGGCGTGGCCGGCGGATGGTAGGGCTGGGCATGGTGTAGGCCCGGCTGATGGAGGGCCGCGGCGGCAGCGGCCACGACAGACGCATTGCTCTACATACGCGCGAAAGAATGAAATAAAGAGAGAGAGAGAGAGAGAGAGAGAGACAGAAAGAGAGAAAAATGCAATTAGTAACTGTGGCAGTTGTGTGGCGGGAATCAGTCAGGGTTCAGGGGTCAGTCGGTGGTCATGTCGATCTTTCTGTTGGTACGATGCGGTGCGGTGCGTGGGTGACAATGGCAAAACGATTTCAGCTTGGTTGGTTTGCTATTTACGTTTACTTGTTGTTGTTGTTGCTGCTGCTGTGCTTTTGAAGCGGCGGTCTTTTTGGGCAGCGGGGGCAGCGGGGGCAGCGGCTTGCAGAGCGGCGACGGAGCCTCAGAGGCATCCACAACAATCCCACTCTGCTCCTGCTCCTGGCTAATGCCCTCACAGGCCTCCAAAGTCTCGCAAGAGGATGAGGCGCCCGTCTGGGTGGCGGTCGCGGTCGCGGACTCTGCCGCCATCTCATCGCATTCAGCAGCTGCTGCTCCTATCGTGGCCGAGGTGGTTCTTAGGGGGCTGGCACTGTTGCTGTTCTTCACATTTGGCGGCAAGAAGCGCAGCTCCATTACGTTGCGATTCTAGAACAGTTGATGCTCAGTTTGTGGGCCGATCAAACGGCACAAGGCCGCCAAAAGACAGAGACAAGGAGAGCAAGACGAGAGGCTAGAGCCCACATCCAAGAGTGCGTCCAACACACATATAATTGAAGTGGATTGCAGCGGAAAGTGGAGTGTAAGCAGTAGAAGCGGTAGAGAAGGACAGCCTGCCATGCAACTTGACAGGGGAGGGAGAAAGCGAGAGCGAGAGAGAGGAAGGGAGAGAAAGAGAGAGCAACGCACTAGCTAGAAGCTACTTAGAGATAAACCTGCCGACTATTCCAACTCAAAGGGGTCAGCTCCTCAATACTTCTTTCTGTTCTATGCAGGTTTCACATGCATTTCTAGATGCTTGAAATTATATTTTTTGTTGTAAGATATACATACATATATGCTAATGTATATATATTCAGCAGATTCACTTCAAATCATGCATTTGTTTGCTAACGATTAACTGTAATTGATAAGCATTTTTGAAGTAATCCAGATTTGATATCAGATCATGTACCTGTTTCGTTATATACTTAGTATATGTTTATGAACAATACTAATAACTAGTCGGACTGATCTGATGGAGCTTTGAAATGTACACTTGGCAAGGCCGGCAACAATTTATTAGAAACAATTGCCATTTATTATCATCTTTCAATTAAACGCAATACTACTCTTCAAATTGAAAGCAATTTGCATTTAAAAGGCTTTTTTTGCTCAAATGCCAATGCAACTTTTACATTTGTTTGCGTTAAATACAATTATTTAATATCTTGCATATTTACTGAGTGAATATTTTATTGCTTTTCAGTGCATTTTTTGAAAACTATTTACAATCAAGTATTGGGGGTTTCAGTAAAATTTGAAAACTATAATTGGTAGCTAAGACGAAGATAAGACGTAGAAATTCGCATAATTCTGGAGGAAAGCGTGTTTCTAACTGGAATGGGAGGGAGGCCAAGGGAATACTATATGTACACTAAAATCTAAGCCGCTGAAGAGGGTAAGGGTTCATTTGAAGAAATGCATTTGGTGGGAAACGTTTTAATTTTGACCAACCAACCAACGAAAATGTTTTGTGGATATGAAGCCAGTGGAAGTATGAGAGGCTTGTTCGAGCTAAATGGTGCCCAAGATATCGCACTTACCTTGTCGGCAGCCGCGTCCTGTGCCAGTGGATTAGGCGTTATGTTCATGCGCGGAATGACGCCATTGAGGCGACGCACATCGCCCACCTTGTGATGTGGCGATACGCCCAGTACGGCCGACGTAACGAAGTCCGCTTGTATATGGTCCAATTGCGGCTTGTTCTCGTCTGTGAATGAATTTATATTAAAGATCAGCCCAAGACGGTAGGCTTAAGATTTGGACTCACCTTCAGGCTGCGCATTCTTGCGTCGGCGCACGCATAAACATGCCACTACAGTGGCAATCAAGAGCAGAATGCCGCCTCCAACGGCACCCGCTATTACTGGATAGATGGAGTTCTGCTCCTGGTTGGACTTAGTAGTGGAGACAATGGCCGGAGCAGTGGGCACGGCATGACTACCAGTTGCCTCTGTAAGCAAGTGTTGTAGTTTTATGGTTAAGCACAGCCAGTCCAGGCAAATACTTACTCTTGGTGCGGCCTTGCTTGATGACGCTGAACTCAGAGGCGGAGTGCGCGTTAAACGATTGCAGTTTGAACTCATAGGCCGTGCCGGGCTCCAACGTGTCGATTTTGAATTTGCGCGCATGACCGCCATCCACTGTGGCCTTGAGATATTCGCCCGCCGACGCTGCCAGTCTGTAGTGGGCATAGTAGCCGTCGATGCTATGATGCTCTGGCGTCACTGTGCCCAACGTCCAGTGCAACATAACAGCGGACTCGGAATAGGGCTCTACATCGCGCAGCTCGGGCACCGGCAAATTGGACTTCGCTGCGCCGCGCTGCAGAAAGAATTTGGGTGAAGTGGGGCCCTCCTTGTTGTCGTTGTTCGAGTAGACGGCAATGATGCGGAAGCGGTAGATGCGATCTGGCTGCAGCCCACTCACAGAGGATGTGAAGTTCTTCACGCCCACCTCATGATTGTGGTGATCCCGGTCCCGGTCCCGATCCCGATCCCGTTGCTTACCATAAGATATGTTCTCATTTGTGGTTTGCCAACTATCTCGTGGAATTTTACGCGCGCTGTCGCCCAACATGCGGTACTGCACTTTGAAGAATTGGATCGGCAGTCCGTCGTTCTTGGGCACGTTCCAGCGCAGCATGACGGCGTCGTCGGAAAGGCGTGTAACGTTGGGTCGCGATGGCGGCACCATGTTGGCTGCAAGTTAAGTATAAAAGCCTGTTTTTAAACATTTTTTGCGTTTATTTATATGCATATGTTTGTAAATGTTGTTGTTCGAGCTGCCGTATCGCCAGAAAACGGTGCGATGTGGCGTTGCCAGATGCGCCCAGGGCTGTAAAATGCCCATTTTCGTCATCGTTGGTTGCTGTCGCCTATCGAGTGCTATCGACGCGACGCCTTGAGTAGTATCGCTAGGGTGTTGAGTAAAATCGCTTCGTATGCGATTGAGTCAAACATTTCGCTGCTTCTCAAACACAAAATATAGATATAAAAAGTCAAAAACCTACAACAAATTTGTGATTTTGCGCTAAAGAATTAATCAACGCCGCGTACTTCATGCAGTGCACAAAAAAGTTACATAAAAGTTGCTGTGCCGCGCCAAATTCGCTGCACTCAACTTTTCACTAAATTTTCTGCCCGACAATCAGTGGTGCGCTCAATTTTCCACAATTTTATGCGGGACGCTTGTTTGAGTGCTTTTCCCAGAGCCGAGTTTTTTTATATATCTCGAGCGCTGTTGTTGAGTGGTTGGCAAAGTTGTTTTGAGTGCGCTTGAAAGCAACAAATATTAAATTTGAGAAAACGCAAGAGCAGTTGTTTAACTTAAATAAAAGCATACAAGACTAGTCACAGGGACGGGCAGCAAAAGAAAAAGGATCCGAACTTGTCGAACAATGTCCGGTGCCGGGGACGGAGGCGCCGGCGGAGCTGCCGCTGGCGTCGTTCAAACAACTGTGGGCAATGACGGCACAGCGGTGGTCGTGGGAGCTGCCGGCAGCTCTACCGGCAGTGGGGCGGGGAAAGCCCAGCTGCCGCTAACGCCGCGCTTTACCGCCGAGGAGAAGGAAGTGCTCTACGCACTCTTTCATCTGCACGAGGAAGTCATCGACATAAAGCACCGTAAGAAGCAGCGCAACAAGTACTCCGTACGCGAGACGTGGGACAAAATCGTGCGTGACTTCAATTCGCATCCGCACGTCAGTGCCTTGCGCAATATCAAGCAGATCCAAAAGTTCTGGCTTAACTCGCGGTGAGTGTGGTCTGCGCACATTTATTTATGTATCCCTATATGTATGTATGTATGTATTTTGTACATATCTGCAACTCTTCCAGGCTACGTAAGCAATACCCCTATCGTGATGGAAGCGGTGGCACAACGGCCAGCGCTGGTATCAGCAAAGGAGGGAACACTTCCGGCGGAGGCGCCAGCCATGGCCATCAGCAGCAGCAACATCAGCATCAGCACCATGACAGTGTAAAGGTCGAGCCCGAATACGAAATCAGCCCTGACGCCTCGGAGCATAATGCACAAGGGGACACGTTCGATGATATCGAGATGGATGGCAACGATGTCAGCGAAATAGATGATGATCCGCTCGAGACACATCAGCATCAGGAGCAGCAGCAGCAGCAAACGGTAGCCGCCCAGCAACAGCAGCAGCAACAACAGCAGCAGCAGCAGCAACAACAACAACAGCAACAACAACAGCAGCAACACGAGCTGCAGAAACTGCAGGTGTCGGCAGCAGCTGCCGTCGCAGCCGCCAACGCTGCCGCCAATGCTGCCGTGCTCAACACGCACCAAATCAATGTGGATCAGATTAGTGCCGAGAAGTTGACGCTGAACGACCTATTGCACTTTAAAACAGCGCGACCGCGTGAGGAGATCATACTGCAGATCAAGCATCCGGCCGAGGCCACAGGTGAGCTCCCACCCTTATCTCTATAGTGCGAGATCATCAAAATCTTATCTTATCAATCTGTCCCTTGCAGCCACGCAAATCCACACGATACCCTCGCAGCCGCAACAGCATACCATGGCGACAATCACTGCAGGCGGCTACAACCAGCAGATCATTAGCGAAATAAAGCCCCAGCAGATCACGCTGGCCCAGTATCAGGCGCAGCAGCAACAGCAAGCGCAGGCGCATCTGGCGGCGCAGCAACAGCAGCAATTGGCTGCCCAACAGCAACAATTAGCCGTGGCAGCGGTAGCCCACCACCAGCAACAGCAGCAGGCTCAAGCGCAGGCCCAGGCCGCAGCTGCCGTTGTCGTTCAGCAACAGCAGCAACAGCAGCAGCAGCAAGTGAAGATGCAGCTGGGCACGCCCACGTTTACATTCAGCGCGCTGCCTACAGTGACTGCAGCGGCGCCAGCACCGACAGCAGCGACCACAGCAACCGCTTTGGGTGCGGCGAATGTAAGTGGAAGTAGCGGGACTCTGAACTCAAGTTCCGGAGGTGTCGGGCCAGCAGCCGATAGCTTTGAGGAGCGTGTAAACTACTTTAAGGTGAAGGAGGCCGAGCTTCGGTGGAAGGAGCAGCAACTGGCCACCGAAACCAAGAAGATCGAGCTGAATAAGGCACAGGACGAGCTGAAGTATATGCGGGAGGTTCACAGACTGCGTGTGGAAGAGCTCAAAATGAAGATTCGTATTCTGCAGAAGGAGGAGGAGCGGCTGCGCCAGTCTGGCAGCACATGAGACGTGGAGGATATCAGCGACGCTGATGAAGACGAGTACAGCGATCACATCGACCACCTAGACGGGCTGGAGGACGACGGTGACGCCGACTGGGCCAGCGAGTTGTGTAGTTGTTAGTAGGGGGTGAATATGATTTTTGTTTTTAGACTTTGTGGGTGGGCGGCCCGATCCCTGCGGGCCGGTTCTAATTTTAAGTGGACTTCTATTTATTGCGTGTTTTTTTTGAAACGCCATCGAAATACACACAGCGATGGCCCTGCGTTGGGCGCCTCATGTCCGGTGCAGGGCAAACGCTGCAAACTGTAATAACTTCGGTATGACTGGGCGGGTTCCCAAAACCTAGATATCTTGTTTTTCTGCCCTGGTACTTACCTACGCGCATGAATTTCCGCTTGCCTTTGTTACGGCCCGAACCTCCTCCATTGCCGCCAGAGACTCCGTGCTCGTTACCCGGCAACATGGGAACACTGCCCAGAGGTGGATAATCCTCGCCTGGTATTTGTTGTGGATTCACGCGCAGCAAGTTGCCTTCGCTGGCCTGTGGAATGGATGCAGAAGGACATAGATCAGCGACATGGAGTTGTCGTGGAGACAATAAGCCTCTGTGGGTTACTCACCTCGCCAACGATGTTTTTGGCGAAACACTGAACCACACCAGCATGCCTTTTCTGCACACTGGTTATGAGCAGCCGACGATCTTCGATAAGTGTCTCATTGTCTGCTGCCGCATCCTCGCCATTTAGCAACCAATAGATTTCCGGCTGCGGGTTTCCTGTTGCCGAACACTCTAGTTCCAAGGAGGCTCCTTCGTTTGTCAGTGTGGTAACAGGTCCCCGCAATATGCGAGGTCTCTCCAATACGGTGAGCTCGATCATGTGCACGCGCACGGGCGCAATGCCATTGTCGAGTCGGCAGACATAGGAACCTTGGTCTGTGGGGTGAACGTCCAGAATCTGTAGTCCGTATGGCAGGACGCGACTCCGGTTGTGATATATGTTGGCTATGGTGGGACTGCTCCAGACAGCCTCTGGCTTGGGAGACCCTACACCTGGACACTCGAGTACGACGCTCTCGCCAGGGCGGGCCGCTACCTGAGTGGCCAGTTGTTGTACTAGAAAATAGGGCGGCGTGCGATCTGTATAATCGACGCGCACGTCTATGCTCTGCGGCAGACGCAGCTCCACACCCGTTATGGCATTGGTTGCCGCACAGGTATAGTTACCGGAGTCCTTTGCTGAAATGGCGCTGAGCACAAGCGCACCTGCTGCCCCCGGCAGTACTTCCGACTGTGGCAGTTTCTCTCCATTGCGGTAGAAACTCCAGATGGCCGGAGGATTGGACGTGACAGTGCCACAACGTACTAAGATACAGTTTCTGGGCGCCACACTCCAGCGCACTGCATTCCGGCTATATCCATTGGCATTGTCAATAGATATGGAGACAAGGGTGAGGCGTGCCGGGGTCGAAGCGATGGCACCTGGCCCATACCAGGCCACGCACTTGTAATCGCCCAATGTCTCGGCACTAACGTAGATGCGCAGCTTCCAGGTACGGTCGTCGTTGCTGCTGGTCACGTTGTAGCCCGATGCGGGGCGCAGGTAGTGGTATCCACCTCCGGCACTGTTTTCCGCCATTGTGGTGTGCCGGAAACGCCATTCCAGGCGTTCCGGCTTTAAATTCAACTCGCACTCAAAGACCACCTCGTCACCCTTTGGAGCTACAGCTGATTCGGGCGCCCGCTCTATGTAGGCACCCAGCACATTGCTGGTGCTAGAGCTCGATGAGGAGTACCTGGAATTGCTGCTGACGATGCTCAGTGCTAGTGCGAGTGTCAGTAATAGGGTCAGCTGTCGATGTGCCATTATGCCAGTTCCTTGCCTTCAAGGCCGGGCCTGAAATTAGCAAAAAGTGGGTGTGTTATTGAGCTAATTGTTGAGTAGTCTTATACCTTGCTCCCAGCCCCATTATACGAACTCTTGGGGCCTACTGTACCCCATCGTTCGATAATCGAATTCAGGATGACGATGATGATGATGGTCTCGGGGCGGGACAACGGAAGCGGAATCTGAAGATTTCTGGCGACTATGTTATGCGTTTTTCTGCACCTACTGGGCAGCTGCTACAGATCCCGTCTTGGTGCCAGCCACAGCCCCAGCCCCGATCCCATCCCATCCATCCCCAATAGCCGCCAGACGACGAAATATGCCATTTAAACTGGAGCCAAGATAAAAAGGCTACCAACGAGTGGCAAAAGGAAAGGGAACGGCACGGCTCGGCACGGGAAAAGGGAAGGGGCGGGGCCGATTGTTAATGGCGTGTCATTATTATGAGGTGCAGCCGCAGGAGCTGCCTTGGCGCTGGGCAGATGGGAACGGGTTGGCCACATGCCCTGCGACAGTTTCGACTTGATTTGAAATTTAAACGATGCCAAACACAAAAGCGCGCGCGGAATTCCAAGAAATGTTTCAAGCACCGATGGCCAAGCAGCAACTTGACGCATATAAATCGCAGAGCGGTTCTGCGCAGACGCAGCTGCGACTTCCCTCGCCCACTGCCCCGACGCGGCTGGTGGCCAACAACCACTTGTTAGCCCAAGACGCGCGCAGCTTTTGCCAAGGAACCGGACTGCATACACATCAACTACTTGCTATGGCTCCACTCCACTCCCCTGCCCTCCTCTCATCGCCCCATAAACCTGAACTCTCCTCGATCTGAGGCTGACGCTGACGCTGAGCCTGAGCCAGAGCCCGAACCCGAACTTGAGCCTGCACTGCATGCCGGTGATTTAAAACATCTGACAACAAAAGTAAAGCGCGAAATTGACGCAGGTTTTTAAAAGCTGTGCATCTTGTCTTGTGTGTTGTTGCTTTAGTTGTTGGTGTTGCTGTTTTTGTTTTTGTTGTTGTTGTTGTTGTTGTTGTTGCGTGTGTTGAAAATTAATGCGCATTCCTTGGCTGAACGCGAGCAAGAACAACAAACCCAACAGTAAGAAGAGCAAAGAGGAAATGAATGACTCTTCTCTAGGGAGCTCTCGCTGAAGAATGCGCGGAGAGCAACAACAACTATACTATACTATAGCTTCTAGCAAGAATACTTGATTAGCTTGAGCCGATGATCACGGCACGATGACGTCACAAAGAAAACATTTATACTTTCCTAAATTGTTGTTTGTTGTTTGAAAAATTTCAATTTTCACAATTTCAACAAATGCAAAATGTTGTGCAACTTTGGAAACTCATGTGACTGGCAACATTGTTATTGTTGTCCTTCCTTTTAAACTCTTGCCAGTAACTAAAAACACAAATTTAGAAAATGTTGTTCAACTTTGGAAATTCGTGTCCGACAGCAGCATGTGGCTGGCAGCATTACTGTTGTTTTATTTGTTGTTGTTGTTGTTGTTGCGCTTGGCAGCACCATCTTTTGTCTAAAAATGGCAATGATCTTGAGCTGCAACTGCAGCTGCTGCTGTCAATAACATCAGCAACATGTTGTTAATTGGTAGCCAGTGTAGCAACATTAGCGCAGCAGTTTTTGTTGCCATCGGACAGCGGGCATTAGCAAATGTTAAGCTGACTTAATTGAATTATGCACAGCTAAAAGAACAACAGCAACAACTACAGCAACAACAACACATGTCAACGTTAACATGCGTAGCATGGCGTTAACTTCCCCGCCATTCCCATAACAACAGCAGCAACAACTCACAGTGTTATTAATCAAAATGAAATGCCAAATTAAAAAACATTAATTAACAGCAATAAATATGAAAACAAAAACCGAAGCAACAGCAACAACAACAACACATTGATGTATATCAACTGTTGTTGTTGCTGTTGTTGTGCGTTGGGGTCGAGTGAGTGGCGGCGTCTGCGAACCCGTCTTGATCGTCAGCAGTTCTAGCGTCTGTTTGCTTGTCAAAAATTAGCATAAAACTGCTAGAAATACAAATTCGGAGTCGGTGCGGAATGGAGGAGGGCCAGCAGACGGATGGGAGGGGCAGTTGCAGTGTCCGAGTGCGGCACAAAGTTCATTAAATGCAAAACGTAGTTTTTTGATGTTAATGTTAATGTTGATGTTGCTGTTGTAATAGTTCTTGGCGGTATGGTGGTGGTGGGTCCTCTATGGCGATTCTGTCTAGATGGGCTGCTAATACAGTTGTGTTTGTTGTTGTTGTTGTTGTTTCGGTTGTTGCTGTGGTTCTTAACGGCAACGGAGCCCAACTTGCCCATTAGCAGCGGCAGTTAACAGCTTGTAAAACACTAGCACCTGCTTAAAAGTTGTTGTTGCCGTCGTTACAAAGAGTTCAATAAAACATAAGCACATTTCGTTTCATTTCAAGTTCAGCATCGGCAAACAGCAGCAACAACAACAACAACAACAATAGCAACAACAACAGCAATGGGTAGCAGAAACACTGGCAAAAAGGAGCAATAGAAAAATCACGAAAAAAACGGCGCAGAAAGAAAACGTCGTAACAACAACTATGCATGTACGTGTATAGTATGTATGTATGTGTGTGTGTTTGTATCAGAGATATGGCAGAAATTCTTAAGCAATGGAACCTGTTTTAGCCACAGCAACATCACCAAGACGGGCGACCGGAACCAGCAGATGCTGCACAGGAGCGCCTCACGGTTATTTTTTGGGCGCAGGCGCAGGCGCAAACACTGCCAGCAATTTAGCTCATCAAAGCAGGAGGGGGGATTGGTTTTGATTAGAAATTGTAGCAAACATTGCAAATAATGTGAAGTGCTGTCAATGTCTAGTGGAAAGAACCCAGCTTCAATATCCAACTGGCTGCTCGCCCGCATTCCGTGTCCAGGCCCAAGACGAGCAGCTGCAAGAAAAAGCACAGCGAGCGCTCTGCGCATGTAAACGAGTTCGAAATCTGCATTCCTGTCGATTGCAGGCGCAGCAGCAGCAACAACAACAATAACTATGCAACGCAACAGGATTTGCACATGTGGCCTGTACGGGGAAAAAATCAACACTAAAGTGGCATCGCCAAAGAGGGCTTGTTCCACTGTCCCTCCCCAGCATTGGACAAATATTTCCATATAATCCAAGAGTTATGTCTTGGTTATAGCAATTGAGAATAGCTCTAAAAAGCCATGATTCTACAGTAGTAGTAGTAGTTAAACGTACATAATTAAAGAAAATGCAAAAAGCAAGGCTGCGAATAGAGTATCTATTTATAAATACTATGTGCTGTTTGCTGCAATTACTAAGTTACTCAAATGTGTCACTAATATGGGGTTAAATGTTTCTGGCACATTTTGCAGCCACTTTATTAAATTTAATTTATGAACCGCTAAAAAATTCAAATGAAATTTTGTTTGATATCGACGCAGCGGTCTCTACTTGGGTGTGTGACGATATTAAATCAGAAGTGACGATGTGGAGACGTGGGTTGATTTACGCCAAAGGTTTATTTTTTATATTTATAAAATATTTTAAATTTGAGAAAAATATCATAATTTACTATGGAATATAGTAAAATTAACTATTTGTTTTTTGAAGTGTGTGTATATTCATATTTAATATAGTTCAACATTAAATTGAATATGAAACACTTTATTAACGAAGTTGTACACTTTGTTTTGAATATTATTCATATTAAAATCACTAATTGAATATGTTTTTAGTTTGATCTGAATATGAAATAGAAGAAAATTAAATTTAATATGAAAATATTCATCTGTACTATGCAACGTTTTTAGCAGTGTAGATATGAGAGTATTCGAATTTCCACAACAGCAACTTTTTGGAATGGACTTGAAACAAATTAGGAAATGATTTCTTCTTTTCAAATTGATCGGTTGTTTGAAAGATCTTAACGAATTCTGAATTCTGAGCCAGCCCAGCTCTTATTCAGAGGAAGAAAGTCTTTCCATGCATGTTTGGATTCATTTCGAATCAAAGACTAATCAATTACTGTTTGGAATACCTTGAGAGTAGCCTGTGAGCACTACGAGTATAAACAACTATGATCAAGTGGGTGGGAGTGCACTTTTCTTGCTTGATTTTCGATCTATAAAGGGTCTAAGGATATCTAAGTGAGTGCGACCCCAGAAAAATGTCTCGTTACGCCACAGTTGGACGATGCAGAGGCAGGCCTGTGTGTGCGGCACAAATCAGAAGAGCGCTGCACGGATGACTGGCGGACTGGCTGAGTGGCTGACTAAGTGACTGGACGAGTGCCGTCTAATTTGAGCGCCCCACCTGTTTTTTCTCTCTTGTTGTTGATGTTGCTGTTGCTGTTGTTGTAGCTTGTGATGCTGCTGCGCCTGCAATTTGTGTAAAGCGGAGCAGCCGGGTCCCCAACATTCGTGAGGCATTCTGGCAACGAAGATGTGCAGCTTGAACTGTTTTAGCCTGGCCTGAACTGGCGTGGCGTGGCGTGCCGTGTCGTCGCATTTCGGCTCTTGACTGTGCCCGACTTGGTTGGCATTTCAATGCGTAGGCGATTTATACTCGAATGGGCATGAGCGCAGGGCCCACGCACAATGAAGAGTTGATGGGGCCCCCGAGCATCAGCATCGGCATCAGCATTCAGCATCAGCAGAATCGTTTGCGTGGGCACGAGCCCAGGATCAGCGTTACAAAGGCCAGAATTAAAAAAAAAATTATATATACATACCTTTGTGCAGTGGCGCAGTCTGTCTGTCACTCGTGTTTTGGAGCTTTCTGCTGGTTCTTCTTCTTCTATTGATGTTGCTGCTCTTATACACAGCTTTGTTGTTGCTGCTGTGGGGCCAGAGTCAGAGTTGGACGAGTATGCGCCGCATTTTGAGCAGCTGAGAGCAAAACGAGAGAGAGAGAGGGCGATGTGAGCCTGCAAAGAGAGCAAGTGAGCAACATTGTTGAAAGGAAGTACAGGCAGGAGGAGAGTACGTGTGCAAGAGAGATAGAGAGAAACTCAAATTGGAGGACCTAGGGGTGGGGAGGGGAGGGGAGGGGAGGAGTCGGTTGGCTGCCTGCTCATAAATATCGAAAATAAATGACACTTTTAATGAATTTCAAAATAATTGAGGCCTAAAGTGGCACAGAAAAGCTCAGCGACAGCCAAATAAATGCGAAGACTATAAATAAATAACATGCCGGGCTAACAGCAGCAGCAACAACAACAACAACAACAACAACAGTGGTAGCCATTGGCGGGGCGATAGAACTTAAGAACCACAGTGTTTCCCTGCCCATTTAAATAGACATAAAACTAAAACTCAAACCCCCGTTGGACAGGAAAATGTAATAAATTTTTAAATCATCTTTCTGTGCTGTTCAGTTTTCTCGGTCTGTCGGTCGGTCGGTCGGTCGGTCGCTTGGCTGGCTGATGGCTGAAAAAATGTGCCAAAAAAATACATAAATAACACAAAGCAATTACTACATGAGGCGAAAAAATTAAAATAAAACACGGAGCGACGCCGTCAACGTTGTCCCCTTTTAGGATAAAAATAGATCTTTCTTGCAAAAGCTGCGCTTTCCGATAACGCCTGCCAAGGGAACGGGGAAGGGGACAGGGACAGGAAAGAGGACAGAGTATCGCAAGTACAAGGGGCAGAAAGTTGTTGATCTAGTTGAGCGGCTCCTCTTCCCCTTTGTTGAGTTTGCAGATCCGTGCAAAAAGGCAACATCAACAACCAACGCAGCTGCTTCCAATGCCAACTTTTTTGTTGTTTACCGAGCAATATATTCTAACGACAGTCGAGCTTATCATTCGGTTTGTTCAAATACGAGTATTAGCGGCCGATTCCCGCTCTTTAATTAACCCATGCCGCACACTTCAATTATGCCACAACCAACAGCTCAAATATTTATTGAAATTGATGAATCGACCCCATGTCGAAACCATTTTCTGCTTAGGCAGTTGGAGTAAAAAGCGTTCACAAAGCGTTCTGCCCTCGGCATTAACTGAAAAGTCCAGGTGGCTCACATATTTCTGTGGTAGATTCTTAGGAATTCTTCTTCAGAAAGGGCGGCAAGTAATTATTTGTTTGGGGAGACTTCTGATATTTGATTATATGTGTGAAATGTAGCCTAAAAGATTCTAATTTTTCAACATACTGCCTCCCCGATTTGCTGAATGCGATAAAAAAGCACAAAAGGCTTTTGATTTATTTATTAGTTGGGGAACTGTAGACCCTTTTACAAACAGCAGGAAACTGTTGTTGAATATTCTCCTATTTGAGGTTCAAATATTTGCTGAGAACATTTAAAAATTATCTCTCAGATCCTCAGATCCTTTTGCATCTTATTCCATTGAAAGACTTTGTCCTTTGTCTGTTTAAAAGCGCTATTTATGATCGCTCTGTAAAGCTCATAAACATATTTCGACCAGGGACTATTAGCAGAAATCTCAGATAAGTTGTTGTTGCCACATTTTGAACTGCTTGAGTTCTCTGATTAGTTTGGCTTTTAATCGGTTCATTTTATAACTCAGATCCATTTATGCTATAGGCGCCACAATAAAACGATATTCAAATTTGATTTCCCTACTTTGTCAGTACATGGGACATGGGACACTAAGAGATCTTGAGGTTTTTAGGCAACAGTTTCGGGAAATGAATGTGCATAAATCTGATTCCAATCAATTTACGAGTACGCGACTTGAATCTGCTCGGAGGGCGAAGCAGTGGAGCAGTTCCAGCGCCCACGACTCGCTTTCGACCGCCGGACTGGGCTGGCACTCGGGCAGTGGCAGGGGCAGAGGCAGAGACAGGGACAGGGGTTGGGGCAGACACATGCAGTTGTTGCGCCATAATTTCTAGAATTTTGAAATGTCGCCAAGTCGAACACTCACGCACACACAAACACATATACACGGAGTATTTGGGTAAACAAGAAATAAAAAACTAAAAACAAAAATTGACGGTGGGCGGAGGGCGGTGTTGCCAAGCGCCACACGGCTGGCAGGCGTCGAACTTGTTGCATGTTTTGGGCAGACCGCTCCGGTCGTTATACCATCTGATATATAATATAAATGAGCATAAATACAATCGAGCCTTGCTACAAAGTTTCAACCAGAAATTGTCCCCAGAAATGAACTCCAGCTAGCCACATAAGCTTTTTTGGCCCTCTTGAACGGCATGGTTTTTTTTTTTTTTAACAAAATGGTATCAAATAGATGTACATCTGGAATACAAGAAGAAGTAAGAAACGAGAGAATTTAACGAAGTCGAAAGAATCGAAGAAGAGAATCGCCATCACAAAACATTATGTGAATAAAAATTGTTGAAGGGTTTGTAAAATCGTAATTGAAAAGAAAATCTCGACAATGTTGAGAAAATGTGAAACTCAAAGATATTCTTATAAAAATTGGCAAATACCAAAAACATATAATAATATTATATTAACTGATGAAATTGTGTGCAATCGTGTAACTTTTAAAGAAGTATACATGTAAATATCTAGAAAAAGGGGAACATTATCCATCGCTAGTAGGATAAGCCACATTTCAAAACCATTTCTAGCACAAAGCTTTAAAAAACTGAAAAAAAACGGTTTGGAGATCGTGTTATGGCAGAACTGGCTCTTCTTGAAAATGCAAATCAAAGGCAAAAACCCAAGTAAAAATACGGGTAGTATAATAAACAAACAAATTGAAAAAATGACAAATAAAAAATGTTTAGTTCTGGGAAAATCTGTATCTATAACCATTGCATCTGTTCGAGCTTTGATAAGTTCCAGTTTAGGGAAAACAAGTTATCGATGCTTCACTGTATTGACTGTGAGTATGTGTACGTATGTATATATAGTATGTGTGTGTGTGTGTGTGTGTTTGTGTTGTGCAGGAATGTAGGAGTGTGTATGCGACCAACAATACCGGCAGTTGTCATTATTCATAAATATTTCTCATGATTTTCTAAAATAAAATTATTTGCTACCGAGTGTGGAAAATCAAAACAGAGGCAGAGAAAACGAGCGCAACAAAAGTGAGCAGCCAGCAGCATGTTGCTGACGGATTGCTGACAATGTTGCTGGCGTTTGTTGCCGCTACTGATGTTGCAGCCGGTTTGGCATTGTTCATCATGACTCATTGTCGGCGTCGTTTTCGCGATTTTCTGCAATTTTTTTCTATTTTGTTTTTCTATTTTTTGGTCAACATGTTAGAAATAGCAACGGCAACAGCAACGGCATCAAAAACGGCAACAGCAACAGAAACTGCACATGGCAAGGAGACAACGGCAACAACAGCAATGGCGAGTCGAGTAAATGATAGATCAGCTTTTCTATAGCCTGCCATTGTTGTTATAGTTGTAGTTGTTGTGGGTGATGTTGGCGTGTGTGTGGGCGTGTGAAGCATGCAAACAGGCTGCTCTTGTTGTTGTTGCTGCTGTCTTTAGAGTCATGTTGCTGCCGGTTACTTTGTCATAATTAATGCTTATGGCATGCAATTTCTTGCCTTTCTGTCTGATATTATTAGCACTTGCAATGTACCCTAACAACAACAACAACAGCAACAGCAGCAACAACTATCTGCCCTGCAGCGACGACATTAGCTGCTGCTGTTGTTGCTGTTGTTGCAGTTGCTGCTCACTCGCATTCTTTGGGTGAAAGCCGCACGCGTAACCATATCAGCGATGCCCGTGAAGTGGCATGTGTTCCATCTGTCCGCAGTGCTCTTTGCATGCCCCTACATGCTAGCTACATGCAAAACGAAAAGAAATACCAGAGCTGCCGCCGGCATCCGACAACAGCAACAGCAACAACAACAACAGCAGCAACGGCAACGGCAACAGCAACATGCTCCAAAATTTATGCGTTACTTGCTGATCCGGCCAGGTTTATTGCTCACTTCCAGTTTGGAAATTCGTTCAACTCTTCTCCCGGCCCAGCTTTGGCACAATGGTCTCATAATTTTGCGCATTGGCAACATCGTCGTCGTCGTAGTCGTCGTTGTCTGCGTTGCTGTTGCTGTTGTTGTTGTTGTTGCGGTTGCGATTGCATCGCAGCTTAATAATTTCACTGCCTGCATTCCTGACCGATCGGCCATACATTTGGCGCTGTGTGTCCATTTTTGGCTGCTCGGCAATTTAATTTGCATGCCTGTTATAAATTTTTCAAATGTTCCGACGCGACCGCGATTGCGATTGCGACTGTGGCTGCGACTGTGACTGCGACTGCGACCGGCCGCCCTCGTTAGATGCGTTGGCTGAGACTGAGACTGCAATCGGGACTGTGCGGCCCACCATGTTTAGTGATCGCTATCGTTGTCATTGTTGTTGCTGTTGTTGTTGCCGTTGCTGTTTTTGTTGCTATTGCTCTGACTGTCGTTGTTGGTTGCCTTTTCATTGCAATTTATTTGATTTTCATTGCATTAAATTTCTGTTTGTGGCTTCGCTTTGGCTTTTGCTTTGGCTTTGGCTTTGGCGCTGCTCCTTACGTTCGACCGATCTCATTCACATTATTATTATTGTTGTTGTTGTTGGTATTTCTTGTTGCCTGATGGGAGAAGGCAACGGCGACGGCGGTGATGTTGCTGCCGCCATTTTTGATTTCGATCTTGGAATTTCAATTTGCGCTCGTTTTATGGGCGCTCTTTGCATTTTCATGGCATTGTTGTAGCTGTCATTATTTTTGTTGTTGTTCTGGTTGCTGTTGCTGCTGCTGCTGCCAACGGTACCCATTCCCTCTATTGCGCAATTTCCCCCTCGGAATTTTCACCTAAGCGAGCATTGCGAGCAATTCATCATAAACATTGCGCCGTCGTCGTCCCTCAGTCGTCACCGCACATCGTTAAGATATTTTTGTTGCCCCATGGCCGTCCGATTGGGTTGTCATGTCACCTGCTTCCCGGTCGCTACTGGGGGCGTGCTGAACATGCTGGTGTTGCTC